GTGATTCTGTTGAGAAGTCAGCTGCTAGCTGTATCAGGACTCCCTTATGTTACTACCTCTTTCTCCCTTGCTTCCTTTAGGATTCTCTGCTTGTCTTTGATATTTGCCATTTTAATGATGATGTGTCTTGTAGTGGGCCTCTTTGGGTTCCTCTTGAGTGGGACCCTCTGTGCTTCCTGGACTTGTGTGACTTTTTCTCTCCTCCAATTAGGGAAGTTTTCCATCATTACTTTTTCAAACAGGTTCTCTATCCCTTCCTCATCCTCTTCTCCTTCTGGTATCCCTATTATACAGATATTATTACGTTTCAGGTTGTCCTGCATTTCCCTAAATGCCTCTTCATTCTTTTTAGTCTTTTTTCATTTTCTTGCTCTTTCTGGGAGCTTTTTCTACCTTGTCCTCCAGCTTGCTGATTCGATCCTCTGCTTCACTGAGCCTGCTTTGGATCCTTCTATTGTGTTCTTCAATTCAGAAATTGTATTCTTCATTTCCTCTTGCCTCTTATTGATAGTTTCTATGTCCTTTTTCATGCTGATATAGTTTGCAGTAAGTTCCTTGTAGTTTCCCTGTAGTTTTTAGTAGTTCTGTCTGAGCTCACCGAGCTCATTGAGCTTCCTTATAACCGTTGTTTTAAACTCAATATCTGATAGATTACTTGCCTCTATTTGATTTAATTTTCTTTCTGGGGATTCCTCCTTTCCCTTCGAATGGTGCGTATTTCTTTGTCTTCCCATTATTTGTGAGACTCTTCTCTTTTGCTTCTCCTTCTTAAATTGATCTGTCTTGATTTCCTGACTTTGTGTTGTGAACTTCTAAGGTAGGAGACCGCTGTTTTTATCTTCTGGATCTGCCTCTGATGATGTCAGATGCCGTCCCTGTCTGACCTTAGGCAGTCTGTTTGAGACTTCCAGGAATCTACTGTCTGTGGCTGTCTCCTTCAGCTGTTAATCTAGTCACTCTGCACTCAGCAGGCTGCCTTAGACAGCTCAGGGCGGGGCAGAGTCAGTCCTTGGGGTGGGGTTAGTGGGTCCTCTCATGCTGGTGCATATGGGGGAGGAGTCAGCACTGGGATCCCGCCGGCTACTCTCTCCATTCTCTCCCCAAAGCCTCCGTCTCCAGTCTCTCCTCAAGTGTCTCCAGACCTCTCTGTGCCCCCTTTAGCCAGGAATCTACTATCTGTGGCTGCCACTCTGCACTCACACAGGCGGCTTACACAGCACAGGGCGGGGTAGAATCCCACCTGGGGGCAGGGTTATTGGGTCCTCTGATGCTGCTGTGGCTCAGGGGGAGCAACATGGCTGCTGCGCATGGGGAATGAGTCAGCACCGAGGTCCTGCTGGCTACTCTCTCAGTTCTCTCCCCAAAGCCTCCTTCCCCAGTCTCTCCTCAGGTGTCTCTAGCCCACTCTGCCCCTGCCTTGGCCAGAGACTAGGGTAAGTGGCTGCAAATATAAATTTATGCATTGGCCCTTGAAATGGTTCTTTGAGTCTCCAGCCGCCTGTCTCTAGCAGGGAGCAACCCTGCCGCTTTTTGCAGGTGGGTGTTTCTGTGTACTTTTTGGGCTCTGGTGCTGTAGGTTAGAGATCCCCACTTTTGGTTTAGACCCTGCTCTAAAAAAAAAAAGAAAGAACATTAAATTAAAGTAGGGAAGCCAATCTGGCCTATCAATTATGAAGTTCCAAAATACTATTATCATAAGGCAGTGCCTTGATGTTGCTATTATTTTAACAAAAAACCTTATTTATATGCTGGAGTTTGCAAGGACTACAAATTGCAGAATTCTTCACTGAGCCTTTAAATCTGAATTAAAAAAAGTCTAACATAACACTAACAAAGATAAATAAGATCTTGGTCTCAAGGCAATATATTATAATGGTGAAACCAGACTGCTTGGGTTCAAATCAATCTCTTCCATTTACTAGCGCTATGACCTTGGGTAAGCTACTTGACCTCTCTATGCCTTAGTTTACCTATTTATAAAATGGGGCTCCATAACTGTGTTGACAGAAGAAACCTCGAAACCTGTAGAGAATATTTAGAAGAGTTCATTTGAGCCTAAACTGATGGCAGTTTCTAGGAAGCAAGATCTCCAATGCTGCACGGAATGACAGTTTTGTAGTTTCCTTTATGCACTTGGAATTAAGGAGGGAATATAAGGAAGTTTACACTGAGAGAAAGCAAGGCAAGGATTGGATAACAAGATAGTTAACAAGATTAAGGGCTTTCTTTAGGGTGGTTAGCCTGTTTCAAAGGTGTGTTAAGCAAGAAGCACAAGAACAATGGACAGGGCCTGCTTAGGGCTAAGATAAGCCTTTCACTGAAAAAGTTACATTCTTTAAGTAACTTTTAAGTAACTGCCCATGACGACCTCCCTATTTAGGAATTTAAGATTATATCACCCTGTGAGGTTATTTTCTGGAGAACCACTTTTTGCCCACAATAATTTCTAGATCATAGGGTAGTTTTGAGGAAGAATATTAATACATAAAGTGCTCAGAAGAGTGCATGACACATGTACCTGCTATAGATAAAAGTAGCTAATATTTTTATTAGTTAAACATGGTATCTTTAACAGATTTCAGAAGTGAGAAAAACAGTTTTGGGAGAAGAATAATCAATGTACTAAACGTTTTTACTTAGGCATTCAGTGGAGATACCAGATAGTATGGGTTGGGGTTGCAGACAGAGACAAGGCCCAGGCTCTTGGTGGTTGTGAACAAAGAATTGAAAAGCCTACACAAACAGAATTAAGTCAAGCAAGTGAGATCTATTGAGACACTTCCCAAGATATGGGAGCAGGCCACCTCTGACCAGAGAATGGCCCCCTTCCACTGAAAGGGTGCAGGTTTTATTAGGTTCCATAATTCTCCTTGAGAGCCTACACAGGGAGGAAACTGCAATGCTAATTTTGGGTAATGAAGCAAAGGTACAACTGAAGCTCTAGCGTGCAAGCGTGGCCCCTTGCCAGGTGTCACAAGGGGATTCTCAGAAATCAGGATGCTGACTGTCCAACAGCTGCGTGCCTCAGGACTTCCTCATTCCTATTCTATCTCCTGTCTTACTGGGACCCTGGGAAAAAGGCTTCCCTGTGATCCTCACGTCCATCTCACCTCCCAACAGGCTATCGCACTAGCCTCCTGGTTCCTTTTACAGGTCAGGCCCTTCACACTGCTTGCTCAGCCTGCAAGGACACAAAATCTGGACTTAATAAGTATTTAACATGTAAGTAAATGAATTTGGTATCATTTCAAATGGAAATAAAAGCTAAATCCCTGGGAATATATGAGGCTGCCATATGGGATGGGTAGTCATGCCCCAGGTCTGTAACTTCTTTAGTAAAAGGTTAAGTCAGCCCTATCTATTATTCTTGTACATCTAGACTAATACACCTTTGAAATGCCAGATGTGATCCTCTTTTCCAGACCCCTCAAAGAGTAACCACCTTCAGGAAAGTATGTAATCTTGTTAACCCTATTGTAATCCAATCCCCGCCTTACTTTCTCCTGTTTTCACATCATCTTCCTTTTATTCCCTTCTTAATTCCAAGTGTGTAAAAGAAACTTCAAAACTGTCATTCTCTGGAGCATTTGACAGTTTGCTTCCCAACATGTGTTGTCAGCTTGGCTCACCTAAACCCTTATAAAAAAATCTCTGTAAGTTTGGACATTTCTTAAGTCAACACATGTAAGAAAGCAAGACAGGGACAAAAGGTACAGAAAAGAGGAGCCAAAAATACAAAGAAGTATTGGGAGAGGTAATAAGGACCTTTGGAGAAAAGTTGTAAGGAGGTAGGTTAACACCACCTCAAATGCTCAGAGGAGGCCAAGAAGGTGAGTACTGAGAGAATTACTAGATTTGACAAGAATTTCAGGAAGGAATTCTGAGAAAGTAATTTTCCCTGAGGTTGGGAGGAAAGAGGGGCGGGTACGAAGAAGAGGATATTAAGGAAAATAAGTAAATTTATGTACTTCACCAAAATATTTGATAAAAGAAGAAAAGCAAGATCCAGGGAAGGTGATTTTAGGGACAATTCCTGTTTTGGGATTTTCTCTGGTAGGAGGTGAGTAAGGAAGCAATGGAGAGGTAAACAACTAAGGTACAAAGAGGTAATAAAAACACGAGGCTAGGTCCTAGAGACACTATGCATTTCTATTTTTACTATTATAACGTCCACAGTGTTTTTCACATGCATTATATTATCATCCCCCAGCTCTCCGATGGATACAGCCTTTTCTTCATCGGGTCCCATAAGTGAGGTCCCTAGCTAGATCAGCAGCATTAGCGTCACTAGTAACTACCGTAGTTAGAAATTCTTGAGTCCTATACCAGATCTTCACAATCTCTGAGGGTGAGGCCGAGCAATCTTGCGTTTTCAAAAGTTCCCAGGGGAGTTTAATACTCTCCAAGAAATGACAGACCACTGGTTTTGTGGCCACAGTCCAAGGTTACAACTTCTTCTAAACCCTCCGGCTGGACCTTCCTTGTTCCTAAGGATGTAGTGCACGACCCCACCCGCCAAGCGCTATAGAGCAATGTCGCCCTGTTTTGGACTTAGTCTCCGGTAGTTCTACCAACCCAGGTTGGAGCAGAGGCCAGGCCAGGTGGAGGAACCTTAACAAAAGTCAGCAACCATCAACTAAGCGACCAAACCACCACCACCCGCGCCCCCTGCTCTAGTTAGACTTCCGGCGGAAGAGGGAGAGCCACTGGGGTAAAGGACTGGGGCGGAGGTCTCCAACTTCCTCGAGTCTGGCGAGGGTGATGAACTTTTGTTCTAACCTTTCCATGTACTAAGAGGCCGGATAACGACGAGATGAGAGAACGATAGGCTAGTCGGGGATAAATGTCTGAAAAACCTGGAACTCAATAATGGAATAAAATAAGACTTGAAAATCTTCCTCCTTCCCTTTTTCTACTTTCCCACCCCAAGCCCCAAGAAAGGGAAAAGGAGGAGGCTCAACTTCAGAAGAGGGGCGGGGCAAGGCGCTAGAGGAAGAAATCTCGCGATAGGGGACCGGTGGGGCGGGGGTGGCACCTCTTCCCTCCTCGCGTTAGTTCCGGTGGCAGAGGAGAGACAGCCGCAGTTGTCGCCACATCTGGAAATTTTGGCCCTTTTCTCTTCGCCTTAAATTCGGTGAGGCTTGGCGCCCTCTTGTCTGGGTTGGAGGTTACGGCCCCTCATCACCGGGTAGGGAGCGGGGGAGGCGGCAGGTCTTTAGCGCCGGTTTGGATGGGCCCGAGCGGAGGCCGCCGCATGAGGCTGGGCCGGGTCCAGAGCCAGTTTTCCAGGGTCGGGGCCGCCTCCTGATCAGGGAAGCCAAGGGGCGCCGGCACGGGCCGGAACGTGGACCCCGGGGGTGCGTCGCTGCGCCGGAGGCGGAGGCAGTGGCCGAGACAAGCCCCCCTCCAGCCCTGCCCGGCCTGAGTAACAAAGCCACTACGGCCTCTGTTGGGTGATGTACGCGTGGGGGGTTCCGGCGGGCGGGGCGGAGGAGCCACCACCACCACTGCGGCCGCCTCCACCGCAGCTGCTTTCGCTGGAGGGCGGGCGGATGTACGGGGCGGCTGGGCCCCCGGCGCGAAGCGCCTCGGCCCCTGTAGTCCGCTCATTGCGGCGGCCGCCAGCGCCGGCGACGGGGTCAGTAGAGAAGGGGCTGCCGGGCGAGGTGCAGCCCCTGCGGCGCCCCGCCTTGACCGAGGGGATCCAGGGCGGGGTCGCGGGTTTTTTGTCGTTCGTGCCTCTGCACGGGAAGGGTGTGGATAGGGAGACACGTGCCCTTGGCGGAGGCTTGGATTGTAGGGTATGGGGCAGAGGAGACTAGGCCCGCTGACAGTTAATTTTGCAGGCAGGAGTGGTGAAGCGGTCGCTGCGGCCACAGGTACGACTTGAGGGAAGGGTCCCTCCAGAGAAGGTTTTCGCCTTTTGACAGTGTCCCAAAATTAACATGCACTTTTGACTAGGTGGTATTCCTCTGTTAACCTTCCGTGGTGCTTAGGTAGTACAAGGTGTTGGCGAATTTAAAGAGGAACGAGGAAGAGATCTACAAATGTCTATGGTGGGTGATTTGCCACCCATCACTGGCGCTGTGAAGTCACCTAGAAGTGTACTTCACAGTACATGTTTCAACGGTTTCTTGTAGGTCAGGGGTGTCCAACCTTTTGTCATCTCGGGGCCACACTAGAAAAAGGAAAGTTGTCTTGGGCCACTCATGAAATACGCAAACACTAACGAAAACTAATGACCCCAAAAAAGGATTTAAGTGAATTTATGACTTTGTGTCGGGCCTCATTCATAGCCATCTTGGGCTGCGGGTTGGACACCCCTGTAATGTAGGGGGAAATGGAAGTTGTGAAATCATATTCATTAAAGTGAAAGTAATTACTTTTGCCTGCTCAGGTGTATTGTGAAGACAAAGTGCGTGTTCAGTTTGTTTTACATGTGACTAGAGAAAGGTTTGATGCTTTGTTTTTAAAATGAATGTCATGGCACTGATTTTTAAGGCCTTTTTTTCTTTTCCTAGGGTGTCTTTTATGAATAATCAAAAGCAGCAAAAGCCAACGCTATCAGGCCAGCGTTTTAAAACCAGAAAAAGAGGTAAATTTATGTCTTAATATCTCTCTTCAAATCTCCAGGATAACTTTTAGATCTTGGTTCCCCTGGCTGGCAATTGCTCAGAACTAAAACCTTAAGAGAAAATACCACAAAGGAACTTGCATTTCTAGTTGATAAACCCTTACTATTTCTAAGTAATTTTTTTTTAAAATATGGGCTGCATTTTTAGTGGCAAATTTTATTTAAGCAAGTTTTTGCTTGAGGGAAAAAGTTCATTTGTAAAAAGAGCTCCTAGTGTGATCACTAATTTCACCCGAACTTTGTGAAGATTCCTGAGAGAAAAATCAGACTTGACCCATGGAAGTTAATTATGGAACAGAGTTAACATTGTAATATTTTGGGGTTTTGGGTTTTTTAAAAAATTTAACATTTCTCATTTCTCATAGGCTCAGTAAGGAAAGTACTAAAATTACATGGATAACTTCTGTATTAATGGGCACTTAGATGAATATTGAATTGTGTAGTGAGGTACTACTACACTAGTGATACAAAGTTAAATGAGATGTGGTCTCAGGTATATTTTGTATTCAGCTTAATATGTTCCCCCAAACATTTCGGTGTTGCTCAAAAGCACACATTGACTTTATTTTATATGAGACTTTGAGGAAAAAGAGAACTCAGTCAACTGATGGTTATAAATTGTGTTTTTCTACTCTTGAGTAGAGATACTTTGAGATGTATATTACCAAATCTTTTGTAATCTCTAATTATAGTCTGCCCCCTTGTAATGGGGAGACCAAAGAGTGGTTTGTTTCTAGTCTTTGCATATTCATTTACATTTAAACCAGTAGATTTTGCTCAAGAGGAGGAATAGAAGTTGGAAACCAGAGCAGTTTAACAATAATAGGGAAGAGTCTGTATCCTCTTGAGTATGTGGATTCCTGGCATCACCTTTATTTTATTGTTAGCATCAGAAAAAGATGTCACTTTCCTGCCTCCAGATTGAGATCACGCATGCCTTCCTAATTCTTGATGTTTGGGTCTTGGGTAGGGTGAACCACCATTCTGATTTATCTAGGACTGAATAGAGTTCCCAGGACATAGGCCTTTCAGAGCTAAAAACCAAGTCCTGATACAAATAGGGAAGAGTGCATCAGACTCCTGCTCTGTGAACATTAAGGTGGTATCTAACTTAGAGAAATCAAACCCTATCATGGAATCTGTAAAGACAGGTATATACCCAGGGCACAGTTCTGAGTACTTTCCATTTTATTTATATCATTTAATATTCCCAACAACTTCATAAGATACTACTCTTAATCACCATTTACAATAGGAAAAATGTGCATAAAGAATGAAACTAGTTGCTCACACAGTTAAATGATTGTCATCAGGATTTGGATCAGGCAGTTTGACTTGAGATTACTTGCCCCTAGCTACGAGTCTTGAATTTTTCCAGCTTTCAATTTTCCTTAATAGTGGGAACAAAAAGATCAGCCTCCCAAGATTGTTACAAGAATTGAAGCAAAAGATCTACTGCAGTTTCTGTCATATATTGAATCTTAATAAGTATCAAAGGAGTGATTTTTTTTGTTAAGAAAAAAATGGGCTTTTAAAGAAAAGAATCAACAGCTCCAGTGTTTGGGCAAAATTTCACTCAGGAATAAAATTTACCTGAGGTTTGAAGGTTGACCTAAATTTCAGAAAAGCTCAGAAGCAATGGAAGAACATTCCAGATAGAAATTGTCCCCTGGTAGTAGAAACATACTAGATTATTCAGCTCAGTTAATGAGATTTCTGTGAAAAAAAAATCATGGAAGAATAGCTATACAATTGGGTACCTAGACAATCCTGCCTTACACCAGCAGAGGGGAAACTTGCACAGGATGTGTGTTTAGTCTCCTGTTTATTTGCTAGTGTTCTAGGTGTTGGGTAATCTAGCTGTATTTGGTTTTTCCAGCTGTTGAAATAAATGAAATTGTGATGGATGTAATTATTCAGTGGTTATAATTCATAGCATGTGGTTTCATGGCATTTTAGTAAGCCTTTTAAAACTAAATATTTTGCGGTTTTTTTTCCCCCAGATGAAAAAGAGAGGTTTGACCCTACTCAGTTTCAAGACTGTATTATTCAAGGCTTAACTGAAACTGGTACTGATTTGGAAGCAGTAGCAAAGTTTCTTGATGCCTCTGGAGCAAAACTTGATTACCGCCGATATGCAGAAACACTCTTTGACATTCTGGTGGCCGGGGGAATGCTGGGTAAGTGTCTGGTTTTGTGGGAAGTGTGCTGCATGGAGATTGTTAGAATCCAAAATATGAACTATTTGACAAACCTGTCTTATTAGGGTGACTTTTTTTTTAACATGTAAGGATTTTTCCAAAGTCTGTTGCAGAATCGTAACATTTGGGTATGACTTTGCCTGAAGCCTCTAGTCCTGTACTTGTCAGCATATTAGCTACTGGATATATGTGGCTTGTCCAAATTGAGATGTGCTGAAAGTGTAAGATATACATTGGATTTTAAAGACAATATATTTTTTTAAATAGAATGTAAAACATCTCAATAATAATTTGAATACTGAAATGTTAAAAACTATTTTGATATGTTGGGTTAAAGTGTATTAAAATTAATTTCAGCCTTTGTTTTTAATATGGCTACTAGAAGATTTCAGACTATTATGTGGTTCATGTATTTCTGTTGCACAGTGCTGTTTTAACCCCTACCTCTACCTTCAGCAGCTCAGGATGCCTTAACAATATACTGCTTAGTTATATATCATTAAGTGATGATGGTGATTTCATTTCCATAGCTCTTATAAGGTATTTCACAATATTTTCATGGTAATATTGTATTGACCTTCACAGCCAAGCTGACAGAATTAGAACTCCATTGCATACAGCATGCAGAATGGAGGCTTAGAAAGGCCTCTGACTTGCATGCAGTCAAACAGTTGCTCAGTGGTTGGAACCAGGAACTTAACATATATTCTAGTGCCTAGTCAAATGAGTATTTCTTTTATTGTATTACTAGTTTGTAATAAGAAATATATCTATTTACTATTTGTAATACTGCTATCAATAAGCCTATTTATAAAATTCTTTTTAAAACACTTACTGAGGAGATTTTCAAACATATCCTAGAGAGAATAGTATGGTGAACTTCTGATCTGTTACCTAACTTTGATAATTATTAACAAATTTTATCGCCCCTTCCTGCATATTTTGAAGTATACATCAGACATTATTTTATCCATAAATTCTTAAAAATGTATCTAAAAGATAAAGTATTTAACCTGTGGGTATTTATAGCCACTTTTGTTGGTAGCTTAAGGGTGGTTTTCTATGTATCAGGTTATATACTAAAACCAACTTTGAGCATCTCCACTTGAGTGACAGATTTGGCACTATTAATTGAATGGTTAGTGCAGCATGTTTCATTGAGTTGCTAAAATGGGTTATTTTATTCTTGTAAATTGTTTCACTTTACTCAGATGTATTGAACCAACCTAGCCATGTTCCTACTAAGGAATTGCTTTCAAATCATGTTAGAATTTTTATAATTTTATCACAAAAAGTAAGATTGAAAATGATTACTAATTTTAAATGAAAGTCACTGCAAATTTTTTGTAAAATATGCCTTAGCCCCAGGTGGTACATTGGCAGATGACATGATGCGTACAGATGTCTGTGTGTTCGCAGCACAAGAAGACCTAGAGACCATGCAAGCATTTGCTCAGGTAAATCAAACTTGACATAGTAATTCCAGTTAGCTACTATCCATCTGACTAATGTTTAAGAAAAAGTCTGCTTTTAAGAGGTTTCAGGGAGAAGATTTAAGGAGTTTGAATTGAAGGTTTAAGACAACGTTCTTGGAGAAATATGATGAATTAAAAACTTCAAAAAGTGTTGAGAAAAACAATTAGAAAAAGATTGAAGTAGCCCTTCCTGTTTGTCCCTCTGAAATTACTCCATAAGAAAAAAGTCAAACTGAAAAGGAAAATTACTTCCCTGTCATGATTCCCATCATGGAGTTAATCTGCATATAACTTTTCAAAAGGTGAATGAGTTATAAGCAGATCAGCTCACCAATCAAAATCTTATTTGAAGCTTTCATATATATACCAGTAGTTATGTTTGCATTACTGTAAGCAAAGAATTCCAGTGTGTCTAACAGATACTGTTATCTATGTTATTAGGAAGGTATAACTGTATTTTATAATCTTATTCTGTTAATACTCTACAAATGGGTAAATGACTTATATTTGAACAATACTTAGTCTTCGCTTTAATATTTGGCAATAAAAATCTATTGCAGGGTGCTATTAAAGTGTTAACAGCATTGTATTGGTACATTGCAGGATTTGGGAATTGACTGCCTCTTCCCACGCTGGGTTAAACAGCCTATAAACATCTAGTGAAAGGTTCACTTCTTTGTTATTCTAGAGATACTATTGGAGGGATCTGAGTGGCCCTGACCTAGATCTCTTTATTAGGAATCTATACCCATGAAGTTACCATTAAATTTCTTTACTATTCTTTGTAGGTTTTTAACAAGTTAATCAGGCGCTACAAATACCTGGAGAAAGGTTTTGAAGATGAAGTAAAAAAGGTACGAGGAATAGTATGCTTTGTGGAAAACAGTGGGTTGAGGTCAAAGAATGGAATGTTAACACCTAATTCTGCCACAGATTTTAGATAATTTTAAATGTAACTATGTAACTGTCATTTTTACTTGTTAGTTGCTTCCCCTTTTCACCAGTCCCCATCAGGTGACCATCAATTTGTTCTCTGTATTTATCAGTTTGTTTTTGTTTTATTTCCACACACAAGGGAAATCGTACGGTATTTGCTTTTCTCTGACTTATTTCACTTAGCAAAATATCCTCTAGGTCCATCCATGTTGTTGGAAGTGGTAAGATTTCATTCTTTTTTGTGTGTGTGGCCAAGTAATATTTCATTGTGTATATCTACCACAGCTTTTCTTTTTTATCCAGTTGTCTGCAATGGGCCCTTGGGTTGCTTCCATATCTTGCCTATTGTAAATAATGCTGTAGTGAACATAGGAATGCATGTATCTTTTTGAATTAGTGTTTTGGATTTCTTCAGATAAAAACCCAGAATTAGGATTGCAGGGTCATATGGTAGTGATGTTTTTTCTTTCTTTCTTTCTTTTTTTTTTAAATCCTCACTTGAAGATATGTTTATTGGTTTTTAGAGAGAGAGGAAGGGAGGGGGAAAGAGAAACATCAGACAGTTGCCTCCTACATGCACCTCAACTGGGAATCAAACCTGCAACCTTTTGTTGTAGGGGATGATGCTCCAGCCAAGCCACCCAGCCACGGCTGGTAGTTGTTTGTTTGTTTGTTTGTTTGTTTTTGGTATTTTTAGTTTTTTTGAGGAACCTTCATACTTTTTGAGATTATTTTATTTTTAAATTGTATTCATTTTAGAGGGGGGAAGGGAGAGAGAGAAACATTAATTTGTTGTTCCACTTACTGTTGCATTCATTGATTGATTTTTACATGTACCCTGACCAGGGATCAAACCAGCAGCCATGGTGTTGTCAGGTTCATGCTCTAACCAACTGAGCTACCTGGCTAGAGTTTTTGAGATAATTTTAGATGTTTAGGTTGGCTTGTCTGAAATGTAGTTTGGGAGTAAATCATTTGGTTTAATTTGCTGTACATTGTTCCTTAGCTCTTTGTCCAAACAAGTGGCAAAAGGCTAAAATTCAAAGTGAGGTTTGTTAAAAAGATTAGAGGGTGGAGGATCAGAGCTAAACACATTGAAAAAGACACTTTAGCATACTTGCTATTTGAGTCTTAAATGTACTATATTTAGGTGCATAGAAAATCTGGTAATGCTTTTAGTAACATAGAGTACCAGGCACTATTCTAATTGTTAATTCATTTAATATTTATAAAAAACCTGTGAGACAAGTTTTTATCTGCATTTTACATGAAGAAACTGAGGCACAGAAGTTAACTTGCGTATGGTACTCAGTTAATGAGTATTGAAGCACAAACTTGGATGGTATGATAGAGTCCATACTTATAACCAATATAGTATGCTTTATTGCTTCTCTTTATATAATTCAATTGCTCTTTTAACCTGTAACTATTTACTTTTATAGCTGCTGCTGTTCTTAAAGGGTTTTTCGGAGTCGGAGAGGAACAAGCTGGCCATGTTGACTGGTGTTCTTCTGGCTAATGGAACACTTAATGCATCCATTCTTAATAGCCTTTATAATGAGAATTTGGTTAAAGAAGGTAATTAACCTTTAGTAAAGGATAGTCTTTTGTTGTCTGAGGGTAGGGTAGATAAGAGCATGAAAGATGAACTCATACAAAAGATAGGATATAATTTATCTAGGTTTGACCTGTGTATTAGTCTTTTTAACTATCCTTAAATTTAATAGGTTCATTAGAAATTTATTGTATACTTTTAGCATCCAGAGTTAATGGCTTGCTTTAGGCATACAGCAGATAACCAGGGTCCAGATGCAATGTGATTATAAAGTAAAAAAATTTCAATTCCATTGTAACCCAGGAGATTAATTCCGATTGAGAGACTTGGAAACATGTTTCAGAGGAAGTGCCATTGGGAAAAATGTCAGGCTGAAAAGGGAAATAAGTCCCTTACATTGATTTCCATAGTTAAATTGTTCTTTAGAAGCTCACTTTTTTTCTTTTTACTGAGTACTGAGTATTTAACGTGCCTTACTTTAATTTTCACAACAACCCTGTCAAGTGTAAGAACTGTTACCATCATTTTACAGATTAGAAAACAGTTTAAGTAACTTGACTAAGAATACATAACCAGAAAATGGTAGAGTAGAGAAATGGGAGTTAAATGGTAAGCAGTAGCAACAGGAAACTCAGGTAAACTTCCCCTGGCGGGGATAAAGTGAGTAATCCTGTGTGGTTGAACTATGGAGGTAGGAAATGCCCAGATACAGTGGTTGAATCCAAGAAAGTACTTCTGTTCAGTGTGCTCTTTTCTTCTATAGGGGTTTCAGCAGCTTTTGCTGTAAAGCTCTTTAAATCATGGATAAATGAAAAAGATATCAATGCAGTAGCTGCAAGTCTTCGGAAAGTCAGCATGGATAACAGACTGATGGTTTGTAACTTCTTTCATTTTTTTTCCCCATTCTTGCTAGGAAAGTCCAATAAGGGAACTTTGTTATTTTTTAATATGTGAAGAAAAGAGAAGATTTTCTTAATCTGATTTAAAGGTCATTTAATTATATTAAATTCTCCTTTCAGGAACTTTTTCCCGCCAATAAACAAAGTGTTGAACACTTCACAAAGTACTTTACTGAGGCAGGCTTAAAAGAGCTTTCAGAGTATGTTCGGAATCAGCAAACCATAGGAGCGCGTAAGGAACTCCAGAAAGAGCTTCAAGAACAGATGTCCCGTGGTGATCCATTTAAGGATGTAAGATATTTTTGTTTAAACTATCATTATATGGCTAAGTTTCTGGCAAAGAAAAAATTTTAAGTATTTCACCAGAGTGGGCTTTAATAGCTGTAGAATATTTTGCTGGTGCTTTGCCTCTGTCTTTTTCGTATTTAGTGCCTTGTTGGTGCCCAGAATTATAACACTGGGGGATTTTGTAGGGTGCAAGCTAGTGGACAGACCTGTTTCCATCTAAATCCTTCCCTAGCTAGTTTGCTTATGTGTAAAATGAGGTTTAAACTAGAAATCTGTCCCTTTCAGTTCTAAAAGCTCTTTGATTATATGTGGTATATATGATTACAGGTGGTTGTTGCTGCTTGCATGGAAAGGTGTTTTTATGCTTTTGTTTAAGTTCTAAGTTTGATGTGTGGAATATGTAATATATAACACATACATACGGTTTCTGTTAACTAAAGTTGGATTTCTTTTGCAGATAATTTTGTATGTTAAGGAGGAGATGAAAAAAAACAACATCCCAGAACCCGTTGTCATTGGAATAGTCTGGTCCAGTGTAATGAGCACCGTGGAATGGAACAAAAAAGAGGAGCTTGTAGCAGAGCAAGCCATCAAGCACTTGAAGGTATTAGATCTGTTCCTTGACAAAATATCCTGCTTCTGCATTGGGAAAAATGAACCATTACTGTGCTTTTCTAAGAGCATTTATCACATATGTGGTTCCTGGGGATAATTCGCCAGTAAATAGACAAACATATTAATTATTGATGTAATCTTTTAAAAAGTCTGACTTGGGCTTTGGCTGGTACACAGGTTAAGAATGAATACTTGCTGAAAAGTAGCATTCTTTGCTAAAAGTAAGCCTGCAATTTGATGTTTGCTTTTGAGGGAATATTGGAAAATAGAAGCATTTTCTCCTTTTTCCTATAAAATATTAAATATCTGGACAGTTATCCAGTTATCTGGAATTCTTGATGCAATTGCTTATTTCATATAGATGCTTAGCAGATTTTTCTGCCTTACTACTTTTTTATTTCCACTAAATAGAATATAATTCACAGTGGTTGTAAAAGATGAGTTATGTTTTGTATTTTAGAAATTTTATAATGGTTGGTCAGCAGAATGAATGACTAAACCTTTTCTCCCTTGCCTTCAAAAGCAATACAGCCCTCTCCTTGCTGCCTTTACTACTCAAGGTCAGTCTGAGCTGACTCTGTTACTGAAGATTCAGGAGTATTGCTATGATAACATTCATTTCATGAAAGCCTTCCAGAAAATAGTGGTGCTTTTTTACAAAGGTAATTTAAAATTTGAATTTTGTGAATACAAATTTCCAAAGAGTGATTGTCTGAACACCAGCTCCCTAAAATATTTTACTGTCATCACAGAATTAAATCGTCTCCCATTGAGTTGGGTGTTTGTTTGTTTGTTTGTTTGTTTTAAAGTAAGAATGAGGCCCTGGCTGGGTAGCTTGATTAGTTGGAGTATTGTCCTGATATGCCAAGGTTGGGGGTTTGATCCCCATTCAGGACACATACAGGAATCAGCCAGTGAATGCATGGATAAGTGATACAACAAATTTATGTTTCTTTCTCTCCCTTCCTCTCTCTGTATAAAATCAATAAATAAAAATTTAAAAGAGAAAGAATGGGATATGAACTCCAAGGAATCCATGCTTTTGTGATTATCAGCTTGTGATTAGGTTTCTTGAAAGTATGTGTGCCCCTACTTACTTGCTGCCACTTAGGTTATTTAGAGATAAATTCTAGAAATAATGATTTAATTCTTAATTTTTCCAGTATGGACCTGTGAAGTACATGGACATTTTTTTCTCTTTTTTTAAATAAAGCACAGTACTGTTTTCAAACCTAAAAACAAATCAGCCCTGACTGGTGTGGCTCGTTGATTGGGCATCATCCCACAAATCTGAAGGTCGCTAATTCGATTCCCAGTCAGGGCACATGCTTGGGTTGCAGGTTTGGTCCCTGGTCTCTGTCTTCTTTTGAGACATGTGCAAGAGTCAGCTGATTGATTTTTCTCTCTCTACATCCCTACCCCTCTCAAATTAAAAAAAAAAAAAATTTTTAATAAATTATCAAATATCCTTTATCATTTCCTAACCTTGGTACTGGTGATATTTTGGGCAGCATGACCTTTGTTTTTTGTTTTGTTTTGTTTTGTTTTAGGATTTTATTTATTTTTTAGGGGGGAAAAGAGGGAGAGAGAAACATCATTCATTTGCGTCTCGCTCACCCCCAACTGGGGGCCTGGTCTGAAACGCAGGCATGTGCTGGGACCAGAGCTGAACCAGCAATCTCAGTTCACAGGCTGGAGTTCAACCCACTGAGCCACACCAACCAGGGCTCAAGTAACTCTTACAGTCATTATCCTGTACATTGAAGAGTGTTTGAAAGCATCCCGGGCATCTGCCCAATAGATGCCAGTAGTACTTCTTCCCCGATGTAACTATCAAGAATGTCTCTGAACATTATCAAATGCCCCTGAGGGGTAAAATTATCTTCAGTTGAGAGGATCACTGGTTTAATAAGTTTTTTTCCTAGTAGTAGTAGGTTCATACTTCCATGACAAGTTGATAAAAAGTTTTTTTAAATATCAGGTGCTCATTTTATTTATGTTTTTTAAAAACTAACTTTTTGAAGAAAGCAAATAAGAAAATGTTTGAGTACAGACTTACTCTTTTCAGTAAGATCTTTGTGGCCATGCAGGCATTTGTACCTCAGGTGGGTTCTAACTCTGTGGTTAGAAAAGTGTATGCAAACTACCCAAATGTAATGCTCATTCTCTTCTTTATAGCTGAAGTCCTGAGTGAAGAGCCCATTCTGAAGTGGTATAAAGATGCACACGTTGCAAAGGGGAAAAGTGTCTTCCTTGAACAAATGAAAAAGTTTGTGGAGTGGCTCAAAAATGCCGAAGAAGGTAAGTCTGGTACAGTTAGTTTGGTAAAGCTTGAGAACTAGTCGTAGTGTGGCCATTCATAGTCCACACATGCTGCCTTCTTTCATTCAGATACTGTTGTATCCCTAGAGTAAAGATTTTTGTAAATTTATTTACTTTAAGGCAGGTGAGGAAAACTAGACTTTAATTATTGAAATATTTTGGTGGTCATAATACTAAACATTCTTACGAGAAAATTTGAAAGTTTTGAGAATATCTAATAAACATTTATTCATTTGAGGCTTATAAATAAATACTTTTGAATGTCCCTGTGTTTTAAACAGGACATTAATAAAATCCCTAAATTATAATAAAAAGCTTTACAATTATAAATGGGAACTTCTGTTTTTTGATATTATATAATGCTTGACTGCATTTTCCCCCTTTTCTAGAATCTGAGTCTGAAGCTGAAGAAGGTGACTGAATTTTGAAACTGCACCCTCAGTAAAGCAAACAGGAGTTGTAGATAAAATGTCATGTCTCATGTGTCCTGGTTCTTACATCTTCCTACCTCCCTATATCAAGCATGATATAAGGGCTTTCATAGCAAATTTTATTTTAACTGTTTCTATGGTTACTGGAAATGTTGGGTTTAGTTTCTAAAACCATGTTTTAAGTAGCTACAGGAGCTATAGATTTGAATCTAATGTTGCATTAGTCTTTTCAGTTATCTTCTACCTCCTGTATTTTCTACTGTAATAATGTAATTTAAGGCCTTCCACAATGAACAGTTCACTTTTTTCCTGGGTTTTCTATATAAACAGTTTTCAAGATATGATTTGGTTAAAAATAATTTGTTATAAAAATTCTGTTTGCAAATTAAACTGTAAAAGTATCCAAAGTCTCAAAAAGCAATGATTTGTGTGATAATTTGGTATGCCCAAAGCCCTCCTCATCCAGGAAAACCTCCTATACAGCAATTGAATTCATTAACATGAATCTTGAGTTGGGCCATTGGTTCTATATTAATATTTTCTTCATTTTAACCCCAGATGTCTTGAGCTCAATTGTTTGTTCTCTGGTTTTCATTCCTTAGTGAAGACATGAAGAACAAGCCTGAAAGTGAGGTCTTTGGGAAATTATACTTTGCTGAGGTGGTGGGAAGAAGAAAGTTGAGCTTTTCCCCATTGAGAATTTCTGCATTCAGTTTATATCTTTTCCAGGCAAAACAAATGGGTATTCTTTTCATGCCATTTTCAACTGTACCTTAGAAAAGTCTTGTCATTTAACGAATTTAACACTTGTCATATACTTAGATTGGTAGGAAAGGACTCATGGAATAGTGTGAGTAAAGGAAATGCCTTTACCCTAGTTGCCTTTTTTTTTTTTTTTTTAATTGCCATGAGCCAAATATTTCTTCTATACACCTGATTCATTTATTTTAATGGCTGCCTTTTAATTTTTGTCTTTTCTTGCTGTCACCCATCTATATATGTATGTAGTCAGTAGAAAACAAAATTTGACCACGCTTTTTGGTGGAAAGATTTTATCTTACACGTGAAGATTTTGGAGGTTTTGATTGTTGAAAGAACCTAGGTTGGAGTAACGCCATCAGAGACTGAGTGGGAATTGCCCCTTTCAAAGGTGCCATTTTTATGAGCCAAGAATTTGGTGTTTAACAGTTCATCTGGAGGGAATAATGTGTAAGTATAATTTGAAATAAAGTTGTATAGTAACCTTAAGAAGAGCATTATTACTGATATAATTGTGAATGGGATAAAATTGTTAAATGAATAACTTTGATCAAGTTTTCATGCACAGGCAAAATGTATTCACTAGGTTTCTACATAGTGATCTGCTTTTACTTTGTAATTTGTAGTCCTGAAAAGACTTTTTTAAAAAAATAAAGTCAATCCTTATACATAGGTTAAATAGGTCAGTCTTTTTTTTTATTTTGTAAATTCCATGTTAATGTCCAGTGGTAACTGTATGTTATTCATTCAGATGTCTCTACTATGTAAGCATTAAATAATTGCTCTTTTTGTCCTTATAGCTCCCAAACTGTAAACACCTACACAGAATTCTGATGTAGTGGAAACTACATAACATTTCTACAACCGAATCATTGCATGTTACTGCCGTTCAAAGTATACTCTGTTCTATTATATACTGTGTATAGTGAAAGAATGTGTAGTCTTCCGGAACTACATTATGATCTTTGTCTGATCATAGTTTTTTTTCTTCATAATGACAAAGTAGTGTTTACTTACTACAATATTATAGTAAATGGATATCACCTGTGACAGTATAAAGAAAGGGAATGCTTTTTGAAAAGACTGCAGATTTTCATTTTGAATTTTAAGTGGTAATTTTGGAACTCAGCTGCCAATGCCAACTTATGGCCTCAAATATGTAATTCTTAATAGACATGTTAAAATTGTACTTGTATGATTGGATAAATGTTGATTTTCCTAACTTGGTGTCAGTTTCAAAGGATAAGTCTCTTAGATACCATAATTAAATGTGTATTTAGAGCTGATCATAGTTTCTTAATTATTCTGGAATATTGACCTAGAGATATTTATTATGTTGTTCTTATTAAAACTCCAAATACCAAAAATACCACAGGATATTTTGACACAGCATAATGATGGTGGTGAGAGGAAATGCATGCGACTGAGAGATTGGCTTCTAATTCAGTGTTTCTCCACGCTCATTATCACTCTCCCCAGGAAGCCTTTTTAGACTTTTCTAATAGCAGCCCAATAAATTTTATTATAGATAAGCTGTATGTGTATTGTATCTCTTTTATGTATTAAAAGAGTAAGGGTTTTCTGGGTCCCATTTGGGGTGTGATGCCACCCCCACTGATAATGCATACCCTGGTATGTCTTTTCTTTAAAGAGGAGTGGACACAGAGTTGGACATTTGCATTGGCAGACATATCTTCATGTGGATCCATATCCTGAAGCAGTACTTCTCCTTCTTCTGGGGTCACTAGAAAACAGAGAATGTTTGTTTTCTGCCAATCACCCATCTTTCACAGTTACGCTTTACACCCTAGTTCACCATAGGCATCAGACAAGTAATTTCCCGTTAACTTTGGAGGTCTTGAGAAATTCTTCCTTGATTGTAAATGTAGCATAGGGGCATTTGGGATCCTTCTAATCTGTAAAAATCAATTAAAATTCTAGAAGAGTGATTAAGGTTGGGCAAAACGCTTTCATAAATGGTATTGAAATTTTACTGATGCAGTAAACTTGGAGGTTGCTTGCAGGAACTGGCAAAACTATTGGGCTTTAAATGTAACAGGTGCCGAAGTCTTAGTGTGTATTATTGCTTAGACAATTACCTTTGTAAAAATTTTCCTTAGATGCTATTTACAGGTGCCATGTGAAATAGGTTAATATAAGCATTTCTGTGAGAATTCTGGTAAATGCCTTGCTCTTAATTTTTCATTTAATATATTTGTCCTCTAATATATAAAGTATACCTATTCACCAGCCTACTGAGGCCTAAAGGTTTGAAATACAGTTTTCAGTAGGCTTTAAGTGGAATCTAGATGATGTAGTCAGTACTCTGGACTTCAAAGTAATGTATAATTATCTCTGTTCTAAAAAAAAAAACTTGAATTGCAGTGAATTTGTACCTAAACATAACCCTATGCATAATGGCATGAAACTTGGTGTGGGTCAGAAAGGCTTCACCAGCTCCCTTTCCCCTCCATGCTTTCCCCCCACTGTTTAACCATTGTCTATAAGCACCTATAAATGCAATCATTTTAATTTTACAGTGCACTTACAATCCTTTTATCCTTATTCTAGGATTGTAGTCAGACCCCTGGATGAATTGGAAAAAAAAAAAAGGATGAAGATATTTTACAAATAGACTAAACACTGTCAATTTAATAAGTCAGTAAGAACCGTGGTTAAATTAAAAGCTCAACTGCTTATGCCTACTATAGTGCCCGAGAGGAGACAGTGGTTAAAAAAAAATCCACTGAATCCTTTTCTTTGCAGGCTATCTGGAGGGACCAGTATTTTTCATTAAACTGATACTAGAATATTTATTGTATTAGTGTAGCTTTGGGAACTATGTATTAAGTGTGTATAATGAATGAATTTGGGGTGCTACAGAGTTACCAAATAATTTAGCTGTTCCATTTCAGGGAATTTCCAGTCTGTAACCAATTTAAAATATCTAAGGAAGAAAATTCTTGAATTTTTTTAAAGCTGAAATGCTGAAGGCTGAGCTTAAAAGTTAACTTAGATGTAAACCTATTAGGGGAACAAGCAACTGAAGCCTCTGTTAACTTCAAAAAGATGTTCTAGGCATCTTAAGAATAAAATATTTCCTCTGTAAATAAACCTCATTTTCATTCTAGTTAGGAATAACAGATCTTGGCATAGCAAACAGTTGAAGAACGGAGAACACTGGGTAGCTGGTGATCCAGATAGTTCTTGGCACCCTGGACAACCTCAAGTACAGACATCCACGCCAGTAATTGTGTTGCTGCATTATTTCTGTTTAACTGAAACTTGCTTCTTGTCTGTGCTTTTGAGGCTGAATAAAATTTCATGAGACTCTATGTTAATGTAAAGAGAAAAGCAGTAACTGTTGGCATTGGTTGTTGTATGCTAATAATACTTAAGTGCTCCAAGTTGGTTAAGGCTAAGTCCTTGTTCTCTCCATCTTGCCTGGGTCATAAATGCCATCAAAGGGCCTGTCCCTCCAGCAGTTTTTTTTTTCTCCAGACAAGTGTTGCTTTTGTGCGGCTCCCATGTATTTCAAAATATAACCAAATATGTACATGTTTTTAGAAAATGCCAGTGTTTTCACTTAATAAAATAGTAACACCATCTATCCTCTCCAGAAAGCTTCATTCAGGTCCCTTCTCTGCTCATTCCAAACCCACAATAACTTTTCCAATACTACTAACCTAATTCAGGTCACTAGCATCAGCTAGGGTAGTCTTCTAAGTGCAAGTAAAACTTGACAGAATGCCAGTCAGTATGTAATGGAATACACACCCTCTAACCAGTGTGGTCCAGTTATATGGAAAGCTGTAATAAAAAAAAAATTACCCCAGGCCACGTAGCTCATTTGGTTGGGTGTCATCCCAGGGTGGCGGGTTTGATTCCCCAGTCGACACATACAAGAATCAACCAGTGAATAAGTGGAACAACAAATTGATCTTAACCCAAAAGTGAATAATTTACAGGGAAACAAACCCTCATTGATGAATCACGCAGTCTCAACTGTTATCACCACCAATCTTACTTTGTCTACACCTGCCCCCCTCTGTTCCCTTCCCCAACTCCTCGGAATATTTTGAAACAAAATATTGTAACTTCTGGGAACACTTTTCTGTGACTTGAAAAGGAGGCAATTCTCTATGGACAACAGTGTGGTGATTGCTGAAGAGGCGGGTATAGTAGGACTAAAGGGTAATGGAAAAAAAGATGAGATTTTTGAAAAGACACAGTTCTCTTCTATGGGGAGCAGGGGCTTCAGGCAACCGTTCCTGTGTGGAAACTTCTAGTGACTTATCATGCTAAACAAAACCCACTCTTGTCAATGATCTGCAAAGCCCATGATCTGGACTCTGGCTGTGTCTAACCTCATCTAATAGTCTCCAAAACACATTCGGCACATTCGGCTTCTACCGCACTGGTTTCCATGCTGTTCGCTGAATGTAACAGACACTTTTGCCTCAGGGGCAGTTACTGTTTCCTCTTAGCCTGCACAACCTCCTGGGCTTTCTACATGGCTCTCCCCCTAAGAACTGCTCCCCGCAAAAGTCATCCATCTATTCAACAAACCGTCTTCTATCTACCTGACATTGTTAACAGGCTTTGAGTATATGCATGGAACAAAATGTGTCAGAGAACTTACCTTTCAGAGTTGTGTAAAAATAAAGTTCCTATAGGAAAGAAAGAAAAAGGGCATATGGGTAGTGTTCACAACAGAGATTGTGGCAGTTTTAAGGTAGTCAGGAAATGCCTTGCTGAAATGAACACACTTGAAGGAGGAGAACGTGAGATGCCTATGATCAAGGACAGTACTTGGCATAGGATAAGGCCAGTGAGGCTGTAGCACTGTTTTAGAGGAGAAAGTTAGCTGGCAGCTTGGTCAGAAAGATAGAGTGGCAGGGCAGATGTATTATGAAGGTGGTTGTAAGGACTTCTGGTAAACTGATACGGAAGCCTTGGGAGGATTTTGAGATGAGGAACATGACGGTGTAATAGGCTCACTCTGGCTTCTGTCAAGAGACTAGGGGTAGGTAGGGTGGGTCACTGATTCCATTGATGGTCTAAATTTTCTACCCTCACCTTTGTTCACACCTTTTACCATGTAACCTTGTAATGCCCTCCCATGTAGATTCTAGGGCTCAGAATGGCTCCTACCAACAGGATGTTATCAACTTGCCTCTGGAACACCTCAATTTCTGAGGCAGGATAAGCCTCAAAACCTGGAACTGCCTTTTAAATCTAAGAAAATAGGTCCCTAAGGGTTATATCATCCCATCTAATGTCTTTTACTTCCAGTCAAACATTTAACCGATTCACTTTTGACTCTCAGATCTTAGGCTAGGAATTACAAGTGACTATTCATGTCAGCATCTTCAATGGCAAAAATTTACATATCTCAAAACTTAAGATTATAGTATAGTACAGAATTTAAGGCTCTTCTCAAGAAAAAAATTCAGAGAAATCTTTACAGGGAACTTTGACAGAACTTTTGGGTGGGAAGTAAATTAACCTTAAGGCTATTGCATGGGACCAAAGGAACATGGAAAATAATAGACACAGGTACCCCTTCTCCGCAGAACAAATAGCTTATGTAAATCTAGGCCACTATTCCAATTCTTTTTTTATTGTAATTCTCACCTGAGTATATGTTAATAGATTTTAGAGAGACAGTAAGGGAGAGCGAGGAGAAACATCAATCAGGGATCAAACCTGCAACCTAGCAGCGACCGAATCTGCAAACTTTTGGTGTACAGGACAACGCTCCAACCAACTGAGCCATCTAGCCAGGGCCCGACTGTTTTTCATGTATTAGACTAATTTATAACTGAGGTAAATACTGTAACTTCCTTAGTTTTATAAATACATGCAAGCACAGAGATTTAGTGACATTCCAAGGTCATACAACTTAAGGCCTATATTTGAATCCAGACAGTCTAAATCTGAAGTTGGGATCCTTATTCTGGCAACAAGGAAAATTTATCATCTCTGTTTTTATTGTTTTGTTTTTTAATATTTTTATTTACTTTTAGACAGAGGGGAAGGGAGAAAGAGGGAAAGCATCAATGTGATTGCCTCTTGCGCACCACCTACTGGGGACCTGGCCTGCAACCCAGACTGGAAATCGAAATATTGACCCTCTGGCTCACAGCCTGGCGGTCAATCCACTGAGCTACACCTAGCCAGGGCCCTTTATTGTATTTTAAAATTTCTAATGAAAGTCCTTTCAACAAATAGTTTGGAAACTAGACATTCATGTGCAAAAAAAAAAAAAAAAAAAAAAACTATTCTAGACCTTACATCCTTCACAAACACTAACTCAAAATGGATTAGACTTAAGTGTAAAACACAAAACTGTAACTACCGAAACAGCAGAAAACCTAGGTGATCCTGGGTATGGTGGCTTTTTATAGGTTACACCACCAAAGGCATTATCTATGAAAAAAATAACTGACTTTTAAAAAATTCACTTCTGCTCTGCAAAAGGCAGAAGGAATACAAGCCACAGACTGCGAGAAAATATTTGGAAAAGAAACACCTAATAAAAGGACTGTTACCCAAAATACACAAAAATTCTCAGAAGTCAACACTAAGAAAACCACTTGATGAAACTGGAAACTCCTGTTCATACAAAAACCTGCACATGTTTATAACGGCTTTATTCATAATTGTCAAAACTTGGAATCAATTGAGATATCCTTCAGTAGGTGAATGAACTGTAGTGCTGAGAGACAACAGAAAATTGATTCAGCACTGGCTGGTGTGGCTCAGTGGACTGAGTGCCACCCTGCAAACAGAAATCACTAGTTCAATTCCCAGTCAGGGCACATGCCTGGGTTGTAGTCCAGGTCCCTAGTTGTGGGCGTGAGGGGCATCTGGTCAATGTATTTCTTACACATGTTTTTCTCCCTCTCCCCCTCCCTATCAAAAAACAAATAAAATCTTAAAAATAAAAAATGAGCTATAAAGAGACAAGAATTTTAAAAGTAAATTAAGTAGGTGTTTTCAACTTTTTTCGTCTGATGGCACACATTAGCTTATTAAAATTCTGTGGCACACCAAAGTTTTTTTGCTGATCTGAAAGATTAAGCCTAATTTTGACTCATTCAGTGGAGAGCTATTATGTTAGCTACTGTCATTTCTTGTTTGACAATCTAAGAGGTCAATGCCCTTGACTAAATAGCTATCACATTTTTAAAATTCTTGCAGCACATCTCTAACCAGGTAGCTTAATTGCGAAGAGCATTGTCCCAATACACCAACCAAGGATGCAGGTTTGATCCCTGGTCAAGGAACACACAAGAACCAATCAATGAATGCATAAGTGGAACAACAAATCGATCAATTCTCTCTCCCCTTTCCTCTACAAAAAAAAAAAAAAAAAATCTTGCAGCACGCACGTTGGAAATTACTTCAGTGATTAAACCCATCTGAAAAAGATATGCATCCCTGGCTGGTATTGGCTCAGTTGGTTTGAGCATCCATCCCATAGACTGAAAGGTTATGGGTTCTATTCTGTTGGGGCACATACAAGGCAACTAATCAATCTCTCGTGGACTTGCTCTCTCAATGAAAAAAATAGTAATGTCCTTTGGTGATTAAAAAAAAAAAATTTAGAAAAAGAAAAGGCTATGTACTTTGATCCCAATTACTCATTTTGGAAAAGGCAAAACTGGAGACAGTAAAAAAGATCAGTGAAATACATAAAATACTTAAAAACTTCAGTGATTACATAGGTTGAGGGCACGAGGGAAGGAGGAACAGAGCATATTTTTTTAGAGCAGTGGAGCGTATGTCATCATACATTTACCCAAATATGATCCACAACAAATAAACCTGAAGGTTAGAGACTTTGGGTGATTACAACACAGGTGCATCCATTACAAATGTACCCTCGGGTGACGGGTGTTGACGGTGGGGGGAGACTGTGCATGTGAGGAGTGGGGGCAGGAAGTATCAGAAATCTACCTTCTTGGTTTTGCTGTGAACCTACTCTTGCCTTAAAACTATGGACAAAAACCTAACTTATACTTGCTATTCCAGATTGGGCTGTAAAGGACTTGGAAGCTTGTTATTCTTTATGTCCTTAAGGAGCACAGGACGTTAAGCCATTTGCTGTGTCCCATTCAGGGGAAGACAGGAAAACAGTACTAAATCTGAACAGGAATAAAGTGAGAACAAAATCTTTCTGGATTATTTCTATAGTTCTTTATATCCTGTAATTTTTTTTATTTTAATTGAATTTATTGGGGTGACATTGGTTAATAAAATTATGTTTCAGGTGTACAAGTCTATAATACATCATCTGTACATTGTACTGTGTGCTCACCATCCCATGTAATGTGGTTTAGAAAAGAAAGGCCTAAGTCCTGATGCTGGCAATCACTAAAGAGGAAACCAACCAAGTATTCCCAAAGACAAAAGGAAACCTCCAATAGAACATGTCCATTCGTCACAGTGACGAGATAGGGAAATGGTGCTAAAAACAAGTTGTACATATTCATAATTTCATAAAGAAAAAATTTATTTTGAATAAATCATTTTATACAGAAATCATTGGAGAAGATACTCATTTTACTTGGCTATGTACTTAAATCATCCAAACAAAACAAACATGGCAATACAAATATTTAAGAAATTTACAAAAGCTGTACAAAATAACTTAGTATTTAAAAGTTAGACTGATGCAGTCTATAAAATTTCTTTAAGAGAGTTGTACAATTAGAGATCTATGTAGTTTTCTTAAGGGGATAAAAGAAAGGATGTTTTAAGGCTTCTTTGAGAGTAATCCTTTTAGCTGGATCATACTCCAACATTTTCTGAATGAGGTCAAAGAGAAGCTCATGTTCATCATCCTGAGAAAGCATAAATTCCTGAAAGGAAGAGAAATATACAGTCAAACAGCTTTTTCTATCAATATTTATAGTTTTATTTATGCACCATGAAAAGAAGGGAAACTCAAGGATCATCACAGAAGCAATGACCCAGGCTTACCTTCAGAGGTTTACAGCGCCTTGAAACGTATCTGCCAGCAGAACTGTTTTCATCCCAGTCCAATCGATCATGATGGAAATATTTACGTTTCCTAAGAGTAAGTTAATACCCACATTTATGTTGACAATGAAAACTTAACATCTAGCAAAAGTGATTGGTTTCATCAACTATTATGCTTTTATAAATCAAAGACTAATGCTTTTCCATAGATTAAAAGGCAGCTTTGGCTTCGCAGCAAGGTAATCAGCAACTGAAGTGAAAGAGCATTAGTATGACTTCACTGTTTTATAGTTCTAATCAGAAAAGATGACCAAGTGGTACTAAGGATAACACTCTTAAAACATACCTGGTTTTCTGTATCATATGTTTTGGTAAAGGTCCAAGAATCCTTTCCATCATTGCTAGGTGCTCCTTACTATCATGTGTCTAAAATAAAAAAAAAGCCAACTTGTTAACTACCAGTTTTGCATGTTACGCCTTGTTCTTAATTAACAGAGCTGCTACATTTCTAGTCCCTACATCATTAGACACAAGGAAGATGATCACTAAAAAAAGGCCTACTCTTAGCAACAAAAAATATTTCAGCTTATAGAACAAGATCACTAAAGATTTCCCTAATTCAACGAGTTTGCTTCTTTATACAGGGGCGTCCAACCTTTTGGCATCTCTGGGCCACAGTGGAAGAAGAGTTGTCTTGGGCCACACATTATACACATTGCAACACATAATCACAAAAAAAAGGTCATAATGTTTTAAGAAAATTTACGATTTTGTGTTGGGCCACATTCATAGCCATCCTGAGCCACATGCAGCCCATGGGCTGTAGCCTGGATACCCCTGGTTTTTAATATACTTTAAAATAGTTTAAATAAAATGATAAACTATGAGGGAAACACCAATGCTCAATACCATTAAATATACATAATTTTTATTTCTTTGTATTTATCTACAACTAAGAGTCTATGAAGCAACCTCAATAAATGTGTTTGAGTTAGTGTTTGTTCACATAAACAGGCACTTTTCTTGTGCAAAGTACTTACTGGAAATACTGTAAACCCAAGGTAGTATTCAATAAGAATACATCCTATGCTCCAGACATCACATGGTTGGGACCATCCTAGGGCTGCAAAACAAAGCAAACTATTAAGGGACAAAAAAATCCTATTTCTTAAAAAAACATTTTCAAAAATGTGTATAATTTAATGTTTGAGCTGGAAGATCCTGAAGAAATCACTTAATCCAAGACTAAATATAAGAGCATAACACATAAGAATTAGGGCTCTGGAGGTTCTTGGGGCTAGTGATTTAGGAAAAAAATAATTTTTTCCCTGAGCCTCAAATTTCCTAATCTGTAAAATGGGCACTACCTACCAATATAAAGACTGGGCATAAACTATCTGGGATATAACGGGCATTAAATGCTTGTGTTTTAAAACTTCACCAAATACTACCCCCACACAACTGAATTCCAGGAAGGTTAAACCACTTAAAAAGTCCCAGAACTATTTGGAACAAATTAAAATCCTTAATGTGTTTTATGATACTAATTCCTAAAAGGGAAAAATAAAGTCCCACAAAAATTAAACCTTGACCTGTAAGTAAATTTTAAAATCAGCTTCAATACAGATAAAGATTCCCAAAGCACAATAAAAAAATACTTACCTAAAATAACTTCAGGTGCCCTATAATGTCTTGTAGATACCAATGTACTGTGATGTTCATCATCATATGTTGCACTTCCAAAGTCTACAACTTTAATATCTGGATTTATAAGGGTACGTTCATCACGTTTCTAAAAATCATAAATGATGATTAACAAGACATAATACTAAGAATTCATAAAATATTCTTTAAAACTATGAAGACAAGACATTGAAGACTTACCATTTTGGGATTATATGCCTCTGTGTAGTCAGACTGCACAAATAAGATGTTTTCAGGCTTTAAGTCTGTGTGAGTCAATTTATTACTGTGCAAAACTGAGAATGAAACATAAAAAGTTGCTGTAATCTACAAATCAAAACTCAAAACCTAGCCAGCCAATCCCCAAACGCCTACCAACAAAAAAACACTCTGATGTCTCTTCCACAAGTCTGAAAAAGTGGTCAACATTCAACAGTCCGCTAGAAAACCCATTAGGAACTGAAACCCACTACCCTCCTTAAAAAATTAGTCCACTGACAGCTAATTCCTTTAAAAATGAAGAAAGAATTATCTTTCTCTTCTGTAGCTGAGATTTGCCATTCCTTAATTTAAACCTAGTGATTCTAGGATATTATGTTTAGAATCTGAAAGGCTAAATCATAGCCTTCTATATGACAATGTATTAATATACTTTTCCTGACTGAAATTCAATAAAACTGACCAACTTATTAACAACTACATCTTTTCTCATACTAACTCTTAAGTCATATTATGTTAGATCCCATTTTTTCCATTACAATTGACAATATATTAGTTTCAGGTGTACAGGATAGTGGTTAGACATTTACAAAACTTACGAAGGGATGCTCCTGATAGGTCTGGTACCCATCTGACACCATACCAATACAGTATTATTGATTATATTCCCTATGATGTACTTTATACCCCCATGACTATTTTAACTGCAAATACGAAATTTTTAGGATTCCCTCCCCCCTGCCTTTTTTTCCCTTAAAGAAAGATCCAACTCAACCTGGCATTAAATTAGTTTCAATGAACTCCAGTTTTTCAAAAATATGCCAAAGTACTTACAATTCACAGACTTGCATATCTGATATGCCATCTTCCTGATATGATCCAGTTGAAATGGCAGAAAACCATTTTCCTTAATAAAGTCATATGTACTAAGTCCTAGTAGTTCAAACACAATGCAAATGTGACCACGATGCTCAAACCACTCCAACATCTGGACACAGCGGCTATAAATACATTAAAAAATAACTTAGTACAGCTCCTTATAATCTTCTTGAAATCTACTTGGGGCAGTTTCTAAGTTCTATTTTGATACTTACAATGTACTGTTGGGGTCTGTTGTATTTAAGTGTTCCAGAACTTGTATTTCTGAGCGAGCAGCTTCACAGTATCTATCCACATTTTTAACTATTTTTACTGCTACATGTCTACCTCCCCTGTTAGAGAAAGTAAATCCAAGTTAAAAAAATGATAAAAATACTTAATTGCATTTTCCTATCAACTCTCTTCAAACTGTACACTTGTACTTTGCTTATATGTAAATACTCTTTTCTAACTGCAACTCAGAATAACTAGAATAACCTTTGGGCATTTGTAGGGTCCCTAATACAAATTACTTTTTGGTTCTTCAATTAAACTATGTATCAACAGTAATTAACAACAATATTGGCTATTACCATCTCAATTTGCATGCCAATTAAAATTCAAAATAAATGTACATAAAGCAGTTTCTTCCTATAATGCCTGTCACTGGCAAACATGATTTAAAATCTTTCTTTCATCCAGGTTACCAGAAAAATCAGGATCTGTGGGAACAAAGAAAGAAGCTCTATCTAGCTCTCAGAATCTTACCAACAGCAGAAAGTCTCCTCTAACAGATCATTTAGGAAAGCTTTTCCATTCCAAAGGAAAACATTTCAAACAGGGGACAAAAAAGGTAACAAAAAGATTTCTAATGCTATCTCAGGACATTCCAATCAATAGTTTGATGGGCATAATTAAACTTGTGACACCAATCCAGAAATGTTTCAGCTCTGACCATGTTACCAGGATGAATTATGGCACTTTCTAGAAATAAGTACTCTGAAGACTGCTTCAATAGGTATGGGGTAGACAAAGTTCCAAAGACTCCCAACATAAAACCAAGGCTAAGAACCACTATCCAGAAGAAAATAAAAAGGGAGTGTTGAAGCCAGTAATTCTGCCTAGAAACAACAAAATACTATTTTCTGGAACAATAAAATCTGTTCTAAGCTTAAAACTGAAACTAGAGCCCTTGCTGGTGTGTGCTCAGTGGACTGAGTGCCTGACTGCAAACCAAGAAGTTACTGGTTCGATTCCCAGTCAGGGCAGATGCCTGGGTTGCAGGCCAAATCCCCAGTTGGGGATGCGTGAGAGGCAACCACACACTGATGTGTCTCTCCCTCCCTTTCCCTCTCTAAAAATCATTAAAACCTTTAAAAACAAAAACACAAACACAGAATTGAAACTAGAGGTGCTTACACGAATTACTACTGCTTAAAAATACAAACAGCTAGTATCTTTTACTGAGTTTCCTACATACAAGTTAAAAACCCAAGCTAAAAGGGTAAAGATATATTTAACTCATGGTGAGACCATATTCTAAAGCTAAATGTATCTTCTGTACTGTTAATCACTCCAAGTACAATCCCAGGCTAGGAAACTTACGCTTTATGATCAATGCATTCCACGACTTTTCCAAAAGCACCTTCACCTAAAGTATTAACAATTTCATCTAAAAGAGAAAAATAAATCTCAGTCACACCAAGAAGTGAAAACATTTTACTTATCATAACAAATGCTATAAATGCAGATTATTCTAGTTGATGCTACAAATTTCCTTATCACTATTTTATTGGTCAACACTGTCAAAAAACATGTAATTATTTTTAGGTCTAATTTCAATCTTAAAGCTAATTTTATTTAACTTGATTTACTGTTTTGGAAGTGCTACATAACATTAAATTTCTAAAGAAAGCAAAAATAACAATTCCCCCCACCACCAAAAGAAATGGAAAAAAAGAGAAACAAACAAACAAAAAAAAAAGAGAAAGAAAAAGATTTCCAAATCCCTGAAATCTTTATCTATAAATATAGATTATGTTATCTGAAAAGTTAATAAGTGTTGAAAAATATTCTATACATCTTGCACTTAGTACGTCTCCACTCTGACAGATCAGGTGACCCTCCTCATCATCCTCTACACTCCTGGTTCTTTTCCTTCGGTGACTCTTCTGGAAACGTCAAGTGGGCGGCACCAAGATCATCCAGCCAATCAATATACCCGAGTGAATTCAGGGCAGAATACGAAATTCATTCAGCGGGGAGATATTCAGGCATTCATGATACACGCCAGGCCACAAACGGTTGGCAGGAGCAATTTCAAATTCAGTCCCCAGAAATTCACAGGGCACATAGTTTATGTTAACAGGAGAAAAACATGGCAAGGAACAGATTTTCAGATAAGATACTCAAAGTGGCAAGGCAACAAAACATAACACAATTGTTTTCTTAAAAAAAAAATGCTTAGTTGTAGCATTCACTGAAATATAATTTAAGTTTCTAGTGTCCTAATTTAATATGCAGAATTGCAAGAATATTTACTTGTCAAAGTAGGCTGTGGCCAAATAAAGATTTCTTAACTAATCTAAGAAAACAAAGTATTAAAACAGTAAATAAAATTAATGTCCTGATTTTGGGGAGAAAAAACAATTTGCCATATAAAAGTAACACCATGACATTTTAAATGCCATCTGAGCTCATCTCCCAATTTACACACATCTCATAATGTTCAAATCTGTTTGCTTAAGTGAAAAAAAGGATTAGAGAGCATGCTTTGCTAGAACGAAGTTACACCTAACCCTCAATCATACAAAAATAAAAGGCCTAATCTATTTTTGTGGTAAGGCTTCAATTTATCAAAACCAATCAGATTTAAGTACCATAAAAAAATTTGTCAGACTATCTTGCAATCATTGCTATAAACTAACCTAACTTAAATCCCCTCCACTATTCCATTACTGAAATGACAATTCGTTGCCAACTAGTAAAGAATCTATTACATAACTAAACATGTACTGTACTTGGGGGATTTCCTATCCAATGCACAAACAGAAAGAATGTTGCAAGTTAAAACTGAGATGGCTTCATCTTAAACAGAACTTTCTCAAATGACCATACACAAATTAAAGCTTTCCTGTACCACATGGGAAATAAATTTCCAAAATGTTTTTAAAAGAGCTCATACCCCATGTGAACGATGATGTGAAGTACTGTGGTGAATCCTGTGTCTACTTTTATAACTACTTCTTCCACTTCTACCAGAGGACTTGCTACTATGGTTCTGATATCTGCTTTCATGGTCCCTATGGCGATGTCCAGATTCACACCCTTGACTGTAGTCATTTCTATATTCATCAACGTAGCGTCGACTATAATAATCTTTCTCATTTATGGATCTGCTTTCCAAATAATGGCTAGAAAAATAAAAATACAATTTTTCCATGCTTTATGGTAATACCAAATATCCTCAAATTCTCAGTAAATCTCAAGGCAATACTCTTAAGATTTCGTTTTCCCCATCGACCAAAAAAACGAACCCACACAATTTTACAAATATTACAAGCCATCACTGGAACCAGAAAATAATGGTTATCACTGTTATCTATTTTATTGTGACACTAGTTTTAATCATGAAAATATTCCCCCCAGTTTTATCGAGAAAACTGACAAGACTGTAGTGAAAATGTATTTTTTATGTATTTATATATAATATTCTCCTTACCCATCAGATGTTTTAGAGTGATTGTATTTGCAGCGCTTGTTCTCCCGGGCACTGCTATGTGATCTCTTCCTTCTTTTATGGCTGCTGCTGCTCCTCCATTTTGTACAATCCCAATCTTTTTCATCCCAATCAGGACAGTAAGTTCTCTTCGAGTGTCTCATCTACGTAAAAAACAAGTTTCCCTCAGTTTTATAGAACCTCACGTATCTAGAAGATACACTGAGCAGTTTAAGCAATATTTTGCAAACTCACGATAGTTGTGACGTGTTTATCAATTTTGGCAAAATCGTACCTTTACTGTACGTCCTCATGCATAATTCTCCCCACTTATACATTCGTCAAAAACTAGCCTCCAACTCACATACAGTCATAAATGTTCTTCGCAACAGAGCCATCATTATTGAAAATTTCCGCAAAGGAGGCATAGCGATCCAACTATAACGCATTAACGTCAACGATGGCATTAGAAAACAAAACTACAAAATATCGTCTCTTGACGGCCACTCCCCAGCACGTATTACAAGTAACAAAACCTAGCTTATTCTAAAAGCAGTCTTACACAATCAATTTAGGAAAGGTGGAAGCCATCTTCCTTCAAGAAATGTTTAGAACAAAAATCTCCGACGACTCTACTCTAAACTCAATCAAAATGCTCCAACTCCGGACGCGAAAAATTCAACGCAAAAAAACCCGAATCACATACTTCTTCAAATACTTTATTATTTCTCTTTCGTCGGGTTCCTAGACAACACTGAGGGGAGACACTGACGGCATTCACTCATCTCTTTCCAATCAACTAGAGGTTAAATGATAACGCCTTGTACCAGGTCAATGCGTTCTGTCTCTGTCTCCACTTAATATGAACCCAGTTCCTCCAAAAACGTAGCTCATACAGAACCCAAGCAAACAGGCAGCTCCGGCCGCTGCCTCCGCCCTGGCGCCATCTTAGAGCTCCGCGGAGATGGCCTCTGCAGACAAGATGGCGCCCGCGGGCGACCGGGCTCGGCCCTCCCACCACACACTCGAAGAAGCCAAACGTTCGAGGAGTGCTCCCCGCCTCGCAAACCGTGTCACCACCCTCTACCATGGTCTGGGGCGACGAGGTTAAAGCAGAAATTCGCGGTGACAGCTCAAGAGAGCTGGCGTGGGGCAGAGAAAAAAAGAGTCGTCGTCGTCGTGCAGGAGACTGCGGGCGGCCAACGAGCGTGGATAAGGGACATCACCAAGCGCTCTCGAGGCAAAGAAAAAGGGCCCTGACACCTAGCCCGCTTCCTCCTGCGCCTTACCGTCCTGGCCGAGAGTCCAAGTCGAAGAAGACAAAGCTTGCAACGCGACAACGGCGAAGGTCCAAGTGGCTGCAACGGGCTGCGAAAACAAAATGGAGCTGACAGTCGCCGCGTCAGGGCTCTTCTCGAAAACACTGGTGACGCTACAAGGGCGTCTCCGCCTGGGGCGGGGCGTGCACGCGAGAGGGCGTGCACGCGAGAGGGCGCGTGACGGCGCGCGGTGGCCGTGTGTACGCAGGCGGGTGGAGAGCCCGGGCAACTAAAGGTGACGGCGGGGAGTTGCAGAGATGAGGCCCTTGGTTAGGGGCGAGTTGTGATAGTGCGACAACAATGCAAGGTTTGGGGAGATGAATCTTTCCCCAGCTCATTAAAAATTGTACTTGTGCCCTGACTGGTGTGGCTCGGTGGGTTGAGCGTCCTCCCGCGAAAGGTGGTGGTTTTGGTTCCGGCCAGGGCACAGGACTAGATTACAGGTTTAGTCCCCATTTGGGGTGTTTGAGAGGCAGTAGATGGGTGGTTTTCTCCCTCCCTTTTTCCCTACCACCCCCTCTCTCTAGTAAGTATTCTTTAAAAGTTGTGACTGCTGGAAACAAGGAAAAGTGTGTTCTTGTGCGTACGTTATGTATGGGCTTGGGGAGTATGTAACCACCCCCCCACCTTAATAATTTTAAGTCAGTCCCCATCTCAGAATGTGATTGTATTTTCTAAGTAGGGCATTTACAGTCAGGGTTTAATGAGGTCATCAGGGTGGGTCTTAACCCAATGTTATTAGTGTCTTTATAGATTAGGACTCAGGGAAAGACCTGTGACGCCAGGTCATCTACGAGCCAGAGACACCTGGGAGTAAACCCTGCCCACACCTTTTTCTCCCAGTTTTTTCTTTAAAGATTATAGAGAGGGGAAAGAGCGATGCGTGAGAGAAACATCGATTGGTTGCCTCTCCCACGCCCCTTACTGGGGGCCTGGCCCGCATCCCAGGCTTGTGCCCTGACTGGGAAGTGATGAACTGCTGACTCTTCGGTTGGCGGGCCTTCCAAGGCCAGTGCTCCATCCACTCAGCAACACCAGCCAGGGCCTCCCACTTTCTTGATAGTCTAGATCAAGGGTTGGTACACTTCTTAATGGGTCAGACAGTAAATATTTTAGGTTTGCAGGCCATTTGGACTGTCATAACCAACCAATACTGCTGTTGTAGCACAAGGCAGCCAGACACAGTAGGTAAAGGAATGGGACTGAGTACCAAGGTGACGTTATTTATATACAAGAGGTGGCCAGCCTGCTTTTTTGCCAACATCTGATCTAGACAGGTAACCATATTCCTCTTTTAAAGAAAATTTTGGTTGATCAGCAATATTCTAGTCTTCTTAGTAATTAAATACATAAAACAGAACATCTATGACCCAAATGCTAATGTGGTTAGTGTGAACCACTCAACTCAGTGTGAGTGGACAGAAAGCAATGTTCTGGATCTTGATCCTCACCATGCCTACGACAGGCCCAAGGTGGGCAGCCAGAATACCTCCCTATCTTTGAGAGCCTTATGCATAAAACTGAGCTGACTTTATAAGAATGAGCTCTAAGAACTAAAAAGTGACCATACTGACACTATTTTTAAAAAGACATGTTTGGAGAAGAAAGATCAGGTACAAAGGGTGGAAAAATAAACTCTGGCATAAAACAGCCTTTAATACTAATTCTAGAAACCTAAATAATTAAAAGGTAACAAAAACAATGTGAGAACATTAGTATAACTAGCACCTCCGTTTAGTGGAAGATATATAAATGGTAGCAAGAGGACAGCTACAAGCTAACTCCTAAACTGTAGTTACAAAAAGAACATTGAGATCAGCCATCTGCAAAAATGATACAAACCAAAATGTCTCAGGAATACACAAAATCAAGGTAACCTTGGCAGTAAGTAGAACATGGTTCTTGAGAAAATCAATGGTAATTGATTTTTTTCCATTAAGTGAATAATTAATGGAAAATAATACTTCCATGATGTGGGCTAGATATAGTAGGAGTTTATAATTAGGGTGCTCAAAAGTAACTGATTTGAAGCTCAGCATTTAAAAATGAATGTTTTTATGTAACAAAAATTAAACAATTTTTTTTAACTAAAATACATCGGATAATTATAGTAAAGAATATGCTCTAAGAATGAGAATAAAAGGTATTTGGTTCCCCTTGGTACCAGTAACTCAGAAGTTAGTTGTAGACAAGTAGGATGACGCAATCTCTGACATAATTAAAACTGGGGAAACCACAATAGGTGTGTTCCTCAAAGAGTTTGCCACATATTCGCCCATGTCTATTATAGCTACTGAGCAAATGGGTTGGCATGAATAGTTATATCCTTAATGTGCACATCATTAAGAGGTCGGTATGTCTTCTCATTTACTGGTAACTTCTCCAATTCATCTAGAGTCTCCAGACCATCTATTACCCTGAAAGAGAAACAATAAAATGAATGAAAATTTCCTCAGATTGAAACATAATATCCTAATACCTATATCAATTATAGTATCCTTAAGAGAAAAGGACCATGCCTCATAGTTCTTTGAACTCCTTAGTTGAGAGTACAATAAAATATTGATTTGATTTTCTACCATAAATATGGGCCAAAAGTCAGAAACAAAAATTCATTTTTATGCCTTTAGACAATAGCAATGGGTAGAAATATTCCCACCAAAGTATCTAAACATTGTATTATGTCCCATTTATACAGCATAGCTACAATGGAGCCAATATAACTAGTCAGATTTCCTTTGCTCAGGAAATATCCAGAGAAAGTATATAAGGATGACACTGTTATTACAACTATTGCCCTACTTAAGTGGGTGGCCACTTTGAACTTGATTGCCTAAATATGGTGGTTTTAATTTTTGCTTCTGGACAGTAAGAAAAAGCAATAGTAATACAACTAGGAAAAGGAGATGAACAGTTAAGCCCACTTGCAGCAAGCTCCCTTCATATTTCCATTAAGAAAACGAAATGTTGAGAGCTAGCCTTCAAATATGTTCTGAAGTTAGTTTAAAACATTTGCTAAAAAAAGGTGGCCTTTTAGACTGTACCTCTAAATGCAACTCAATTCTCAAAACATATGTATATTATGTATTTATATTTAATTTTGGAATTCCACTAAAAAGATACTGTAACAAAACCCTTTTGATTTTACTCCTGAATGTATGACAATTAAGGTCTTTAAATTATAAGTTTTAAAGGCTTCCCCACTTTGTAGGTCAGAAGAGAAACAGAAGAGACAGGAAACAGATCTCAGGCACGAAGGAGCATGCACACTGAGCTAAGTTCAGTCAAGTAACTGGGACATAGCCCTTTCAAGACCTAGTGGGAAGTTATATACCAACCTCCCAGGAAAATGTGTGTGCATATACATAAAACACAATTTCAAGAAGTCAACTGACCTAAAGTTAAGAATCTTTGTCCTAACTCTATAGTTTTGTCACAAATCCCATGAGATAAATCCTGGTAATTACTGATCAATAATTCTGACAGTGGGTTAAGGGAGAAAATAAAAGGAAGGGAACCTGGATTACCTACATACACACAAAGAATACTAGAGGCTGTAATATTTCATTAATTGTTAATAATCTAAATTAGATCTGTATATGGAATGAACAAAGAAAGTTATAGGGTCTTACATTTTTAATTAGCCTAACCTGGCATTCAAATTATTGAATAAAATAAACTCTAGAACTGTGCCTTAGATTGTTGATCATAGTAAATACTTGTTGTATAAACAGAGAAATTGACCGTGTGGTGATTTATAAAAGCAGGTCCCAGGTACACTGTTTATAATGGATATTCTGCCAACGACTGCTCAATACCTCCCTAGTATCCAGTTTCCCCTTCTTCTTACAGAAACTTCATTTCATGGAGAGTCTGGCTGAAAAACACTCCCTACTCTCCCTTGTAGGTAAGGATGGCCACACTGCAGAGTTCTGAGTCTTCTAAGGAAACTTTGTTTTTTAAATATAATTTTTCTTTTATAATCTTATCTATTTTGTATTATGCATGTCTTTTGTTATTTTTTATTTTTTTAAATTATTTTTTACCTTTTTTAATAAAAATTTTTTATTGTTCCAATACATTTGTCTCCATTTACTTGCCACCACTCTCCCCTGCCCTCCCCCCTCACCTCCCCTCCTCAATCCTTCCCCACCTTGGTCCATGTGTCCCTCACACCTGTTCCTTGATCTGACCCTTCTTCTTTCCCTTCCCAGAGAAAACTCTTAAAAAGGGGCAGACTCAGCTGGGCAGGCGCACCTTCTGCCCTTCCTCCTTCAGTCTGCCTGGAACACAGATGTTCTGGAGCTGTGCAGCCCATATTATGACCATGTGGTGAGCTTGAGGGCAAACGCTAAAGATGGTCGAGAAGACAGACAGAAGCACCTAGAACAGTGGTGACACTATCCTAGTCCATCATGTGTAAGCCACTGTTTTTCAGATCTCTTAGTTACTGCAAAATGCTATTCTCAATGAAAACAGACACATTACTGTCAATTTGCATAATGAACCTGAAAAAAATTATTATCCCCTCTTTTACAAAACCAAGAAATTGAGGCTCAGCGAGGTTATAACTTCTCAAGGTCACAGGGCTGATAAGTGATGGACTTAAATTCCAGATATGTTTAGTTCTCATACTGCTCTTTCAATATCAGTTATGCTACTATCACAGCCACTCATATGCATCCCTTGCAATGAAATTCCAAAGAAGAAAACCATAACCAGAATACTCACTTTCCAAATACTGTGTATTTCATGTCCAAATGTGGCTGCTTGCCATAGGTGATGAAAAACTGAGATCCATTGGTATTTGGGCCATTATTAGCCATAGATACAACACCTCTAACACTGTGCTGGAAAAGTTAGACCAAAGTATTAACTGTGTTTTTAAATAAATATTCCAAAAACAGAACTGAAACAAGACATGCATTCTTTAACTTCCCAACATTTACAGCACCACGAAAACATTTAATCAGGTTCTACTTGGCCAAACCCAAATTTTCAATTGCTGTATTATACAAATACAGTCTCTGAAAATTTATGTGTAAACTGTTTATATATCAAATCATATCACCCAACTAATTTCATTTTCACTTTGCAGAAGTACAGCCACAAACACTTTTAGCAATACCAATCTATAATAGAAATAATCCTTACGTTTATATTAAGGAACAGTGTGCTGGTATGAAATGATCAGGCAGACAATAAAACCAAAATCCCCATAATCTCTTCACACATACACTGGATTCTGGCTAGTTTCTTTTTCTGTAAAACAAGGGAGGTTGGACTAGTTCTGGGGTTTATTCATAATTCAAATGCTTACATGATTCAGCAGATAATGAATTGACAAGTGGGCAAGATGCAAACATTAGGGAATGATGGAGTCTGGCTATAGGAATAATATATCTTCTGCCTAATAGCATTAAAAAAACTTTTTTTTTTTTAACCAATGGCCATAGAGAATGTATCTATGGGTCTTCCACCCATTGAGTTTATAATAACCCCAGGACTAGATGATCTAAGGAAGGTCTCTTCCAGCTTAATATTTGTAATACTACTTGTTATACAAGGGATTGTGTACAGGAATTTAAAGGCTTCACTGATAAGATTGAAGACATGACAGACCCATGTTATAGTGAGGTGCCTCAATATAAAATACAGTATAACTAACTAATGATTACTCTATCTTTAGTTACTTATTCACCAGGGAACACCAATGAGATAAGCAATATAGATATGTATTCTCCAATTAATTTCATTTTCACTTTGGAGAAGTACATACAACACTTTTAGCAATATCAATGTATAACAGATGCAGCTACATCAGGCTATTAATGCTTTATTGTCTCCTTGAAAGGTGACTACCAATCAAATGTAATATTTGATACACAAGAATATATGTACCACTTGTAATAAAATAAGTACCATTAATTTATTTCTAAGCTTTAAGAATTAAAATTGAGTTAACTTGCATATGTGCTCCTCTCATGTAGTATGTTAGCTCTCCAAGAAGTAACCACTATTTCTAGTATCTTTATACATTCCTACACAATATGCACTTGATTCCTGAATGGGTCTTGAACATGGGTTTGAATTACGTGGATCCACTTATACACATATTTTTTAAAATCTGCGGCTGGTAGTCCACAGATTTGGAGAAAGAACTCTATGCATTGTACACATACAGTCCCTTCCATTATATAGGAGACTTAAGAATCCTTGGATTTTGGTATCCATAAGGGTTGGGGGAGTATCCTAAAACCAATGCCCCATGGATACCAAGGGATAGAAGTCTTACATGGACTTCGACCACACAAGGAGGGCAGGTAACCCTAACCCCTATATTGTTCAAGTATCAACAGTATTGTTTCCTTTTCCTTGTTCTTCCTGAGCTCTATAAAATAGTATCATACTATTTGTAGTCTTCTAGACAATGTTCTCAATACTTATTAGGTTTCTAAGATTCCTACATGTATATGTAGCTGTAGTTCTGATTTTTTACTGCTGCATATTTCACTCCTGAATATACTGCAATTTGTCCATTCTATGATCAGTAGACATTTGGGTTGTTTTTAGCTCTTTGCTATTAAAATACTACTCTAGGAACACTCTTTTACATGTCTCCTGATGCACATACACAAGTTTTCTAGGATAAACACTTGGGAATGGAATTGCTCAGTCAAAGTATGTAAATATTCAAAACACATCCTCAAGTCTGCTGTATAAAACAGAGATTCTTAATCCTGGCTGCTGTGGAAATCACCAGGGAAACTTAAAATATAATCAAGGACCTAATCAATCCTACTGACTATTTTTTCTATATTTGTGGGGAAGGGAGGTAAGGAAGAATAGATAAGACCTTAATTTTTTTATATTTTTAAAACTTACTGGTGAGTCTATAACAGCCAAGGTTGAAAACAACTGGTAGAGGATTACAGGTTAATGTTATGAAACTGTCATTAATTTGTGCCTTAAAGGTTGTTTCGTTTCTAATTCAGGAAAAGGATGACTTTGTAAATAATTTAGCACCTCCCAACCTCAACTCCGGTAACAAAAGTAGTATTTCTTTATGGTAGAAAAGCAAAAAGATAAAATAAATTGCTCCTGGACTGACCAACCAGAGATAAAGAAAGATATATTCATATGCACTTCTCTTTAACCTCGCAGAGATCTACCGCAGGCTTTAAGTAACAGTAAAGGAACATTCAAACATCCAACAGATGATGATAAAAGTTGGAGATTGATAATGGCAATATTGCAACCAGGAGGTCTCATAGTCTTTCCTCCCCGCTGTCAATGAAGGCCAATGGTTCATATCATTCAACATGAATTTTATAGTGAGACACATTAAGCACCTTTGGTACAATATATTACCAATTAAGCATTTCAGGCTGGACCCAAAGATGAGCTCACTTAATTTCAAGATCCATGTGATGGTGAGATCCCAGTATATATTTTAGGATCGAATGGCTATTTATCTTTTTTCCCCTGATATCATTTACCAAGTGTACAGAAACTACAAAAAAGAATGTATATTTGTTTACTAATGATGTTAACTTGTGTTACTACAACATAGGTTCCAAAGTTTCCAAGTGTATACATGGCATGAGAAAATAATTTTGAAGCATTGCGGACATACTTTAAGATATTCACTGTATTCATCCTCAAATTTCTTGCCCCAGATACTGTTCCCTCCTCTTCCAGTACCTGTAGTACAAAACAAATGAAGGAAGTATCTAATTAGAGAATGGGTTTAATTTCTAAAACCTAAGGGCTAGTTTAAGGCATAACTCTTTAAATACAAATAAAATGTGATTTGTCCTTTTCTTTATTTTTTATTGTATTTTTTCCCATTACCATTTAGATATGTCCTCTCTTCCCAAAATTTCATTTTATAGATCAGAAAAATATCTCTTTAAAAAAACGCTTATCAACATTATTCATATTTTAGAGCTAGGTTCTAGTAGCTTCAGCTTAAAAATTGCTTGTTATTGTAAGGTAGACCAATTAGAAAAACTCTACATGCTTTTATTTTTCTATTCTTTGTCTACCCCTCTTCTTCACACTATATACCCACTTCTCTACATTTTAATGGAGTAACTTACCTGTGGGGTCTCCTGTTTGAACCATGAAGCCCTTTATATTTCTATGAAATATACAGCCATTGTAGTAATTACTGGCACAGAGAGCCAAGAAATTCTGGAGGGAGTAAAAATAATGACTGAGAAATGATGTAGCAGAAACATGTTTAAGATAAAGAACTAACTGTATTTACTGAAAACACTGTAACAGCATGTTTAAACTATGTCTTTTAGGCATTACTTTGGATGATGTCATTTCCCTGCCCAAAACACTTTAATAGCTTCTTTCAGTTTTTGGAATGAAATACAAACTCCTAAGCAGGGCCTGCATGACCTGGCTTACCTCCACATCTCGTATGATAACGACCCCTCCATGTTGCTTCTAACCCCATCAGCATTCTGAAAATTCATCCCAAAGAAGCAGGCTTTCCCACCTTAAGGCCTTTGTACCTGTTATCTCTATACCTGCAATGTTCATTTTATATATCTTTTCATGGAGATGCCTTCATTACTTTTCACACTCAGTTTAAGTATCACTATCGTGGCTGGGCCTGACCTCACCTCCTCTTATATAATTCCTTCCCCATTATTCTCTATTTCAACATTTTATTTCCTTCAAAGCATTATCACCCTCTCGAATGACTTTTTTTCTAGAATAAATCTCCCCTCCCTCCCTACCCCTGCTTATCGTCCCGCCTGGAACATTAGCTCTACAAGGGCTAATGTCTTCTGTTCATCATTGTATTCCCAGACACTGTCAGGATAACCTTTCATAAAGAGCTGTTGAATGAATAAATACACACACACACACACACACACACACACGCACGCACGCACGCACGCACACACTCATGTATATAGTTGACTCTTCTTCCTTCTATCCTTGTCACTTAAATAAGTAAAATAATGTAAGAAACAGTTCTCTTACATTATATCTAATGATTACTTATGTTTCCTAAGAAAAAAAAGAACCAAAATAAAAAGATACCAGCCACTTTATCTACTCTTTGACTTCAGGAAGGGTGAGTGGAAATCAGGCCAAAAATTATGATGGCTGGTTTTTCCCCGACAATGGTTTTATACAAAACTGGTTTGTGTGTGTGTGTTTTGGATGTTGTTGGCTTTTAAAATCTTTTAATTTAAAAAGTTATCCTGTTGCATTAACTCATTCTTTTATTTGTACAAAATGGTACTCACTTCACAAGCTTTGGGTGTCCTCTCACAGAAGATTTCTATTTTAATATCACCTACATCTGTATGCAGTGTCACCGACTAAAAAGGAGAAAGAATGTGAAAACAAATGAGATTTCTTCAGATGACTTTATGCACTGTCTGATTTACCTAACTAGATATTAAAGACAGCACTCTAAATAAAAACAGACAGAAATAAGTGTTTCAGAGATGACCTGTCCACACAGCAGCTCTGAGAGATTGAGTTGTATAAAATGCACTTCACTGGCAGAAAAAAACTCCAGATGAATATAAAGATTAGGGTAAAATGGTATTTATGCTAAAAATTGGGGAGCAAATATTGTGATGGAAATAATTATTTTAAGTTTGAATTTTTCAGCAGCAAACAATTGTAATGTTAGAATTACTGATTTAAATGGCATTCACCATCACTAATATTTATTGAAAACAGTAAGAGAATGACTTTTGAAACATAGTTTCCACCATTTCCCTTATGTAATTTAATTATGAGGAACAGGGTTAAAAAATGGTTCCTTTCTCAACTAAAGACAGGACATAAAAAGCATCAGTGTTTCTAGATTCTGAATGTGCAGAGGTAACCACAGTACTTTTTTTCCCTTGGCTCTCTTTAATTCTGGCTTTTTATTTGTTTTATCTGTTACTTTGGTAGCTTGAATATGCCTTTTGTTAGCCCATTCCAGAAAGAAGGAAGATTATTATTCTGGGGCTTCCTTTTTCATTTTCTCTTTTATTTATTTATTTATTTATTTATTTATTTATTTATTTATTAAAAAGACTATTTATTTTTAGAGAGAGGGGAAGGGAGGGAGAAAGAATAGGAGAGAAATATCACTGTGTGGTTGCCTCTCGCACTCCCACTACTGGGTACTTGGCCTGCAACCCAGACAAGTGCCCTGACTGGGAATTGAACCAGCAATACTTTGATTTGCAGGTGGGAGCTCAATCCACTGAGCCACACCAACCAGAGCTTTTCTCTTCTTATTACAGTAGTATCTAGCAGTCAGAGAGTAAGGCCAGGCTGAATATAGAAAGCAGGGGTGGGGGTCATTATTCTAGTTGCTGTTCTACTTCAAGCTCAAGTTGTCCACCTTAGATAGAGAGCAAAAGTTTCCAATTAAAATGTTAACACTTGGGCTATACCCTTCTGCTCCTCCTCCTCCCCCTTTTCATTTCTATCTACCTTGTAATCAATCTTTTTCTATAAAAGGCAAAATCTGTGTGTTTTAAGTGAAAATTTAAATAAAAATAATTTTGCTTATTTCTGGTTTTATCTTACTGTATGGTTCCACAGCTTATCACTTCTCTGTCTTGCCATTCATATGTCCATACAGTTTTATTTCCCTTGACTGAATTTCTAAAAATTACTTATAATGAAAGACAATCATAAGAATTCTATAAAACTTACCATTTTTCTCCTTGATGGTTACTGTTAATTTCTCACAATCTTATCAACAGAAGCTCAAAAACGAATCTCTGTTCCCAAAAGAAAAAATAAGTAAGTTCATTTTTCTCTATTACTTCACACATGCTTATGTTTACTGCATACGTAAAAGGGAAAGTCTCGAAGAGCACTCCCCTTCCCCAAGTAATAAAAATCCGGTCATTGAAGTGATGAAGAGATCCTACCTGACTTAAGCCCAACAACCTCCTACTTCCCCCTGCTCACTCTTCAAGAGCCTCCTTGCAAGTCCTCCAACAAACCAGGTATCATACCTTACCCCCCCACCCCGGGTCTAGGTACTGGCTGTTTGCTCCGCCTGAAACTCTCATACTGTTTACATATGTGCAGCTATTTTTCTCCCCTCCAAGTCTCTGCTCCCAAGTCAGGTCTCAGGACTTGACAACTCTATTAAAAAATGCCTTGACCCTAGTACGTTCCCTATTTTCTTTTCCCCCATAACACTTATCACTAATATACCATATACTTCATTAATTTATTAAGTGTGTTGTTTCAACAACACCTTCTCCACCCTGAATACTCACTTGAAGTAGCTCAAGAACTAAAACACCGAGCGCTCTACAAGTATTTGAATAAGTCAATGAAAAAACAAGCGTGTTACCCCATGCTTGCCCACTTCGGTAAAGTACAGCTGTTGTTAAAACAGGAAAGGTGCGATTGCAGATGCTCCCCACAGGTCTCTCAATTCGTAGTTAGTGTCTTCAGGCCGCCGGAAGCCGAGCACGGGAACCAGAAGAGAGACGCCGCTCGCGGGCTCCCCTTTCTCCGCCCCCTTTCCAGCTCAAACCAAAACAACTAGAAATAGGGACACAACGTAATTTATCCCCACCGGGAACACTTTCCACAGTGAAGGAAGCTCTAGTAACACTGGAATCCTAACCCGGAACTATTCTAGGCAGTATCTAGAGGTCCCTTGGGCTCCGAAGTAAAGTGGGAAGGACAACTTCCGTCCCGCTCCTTTCTCCAGCCTATTCCCACAATACTTTGAGGTACCGCGCGGGACGGAAGTGACGCACGAGGAGTCTTTCCAGGACCGGTGAGTCTTGAGCGATTTAAATTACTGCGCACCGTGGGTTCGAGCAGGCTTTGGCTGTTTTCCCAGTGCAGCCGCGAAAGGAAGAGAGGAGTTAGGGGCAGAAAACTGGCTTGCCGCATGAAAACATGGGACTCTTGGGGCAGGAGTCTTGAGTCACGGGCTTACCGGCTCTGCCACTTGAGCTTGTCATTATCCCGGCAAAGGCCTGAATGTAGACCAGGGAACGTTAAAAAGGGCAGTTTACAGGCTGTAAAGTAGGACCTACTTAGTTACAACAGTGCTGACTCTAGGTCAGGTATTGCCCCCAGCTTTACGTTTAAATCTTGGCGACACCGTGAACCTGGTATTTCCAATTTTAAGAGGTGTAAATTTGTTACACAGCTGTGACTCTGGGAGGTCTGTGGTTTTAGAGTCGGTGCTCTTACTCAACATGCTATGCTGCTTCCCATTGTTTTTAATTGTGGCATCAAGCGGCACAGCTTTGCATTTCCGAATCTGTGAAATGAGAGATGTTCTTTTATTTCCAAGGGCCCTTTCAAATATAACAATAGGTAATAAGTACGGACGGCCCACAGGAGCTTCACTTTCGCGCTTGCCAAATTCAGAAGAGTCTGGAGTGGAGTAATATCAGGACGGGAAATCTAAGAGAGTGGAAGTGGTATAAAGACGTTAGAAGATCTTTCAGGACCCTAGGCTCTGGAGGTTAACAGAGGCTACATCACTTCAAATCATAGATTAAATAAGTACTCACATTTCATAATAAATATTTTAGCTGTAGAAGTGTTTTAAAAGTTGCTTTTGAAATCATTGGATTATGAATATTTAAATGTACAACTGGCCGTGCTTTCCTGTTAATTATTGTGCATACTATTGTGTGAAATACTTTTCTTCCAAAACAGAAGTGTTCATGGATACTAATTTTAAGAATGGAGTTGACAGTGTTAACTTTTGTGTTGGATATTGCTGTCTAGAAGGCTTACAGGCTCTGGGCACTTTCCCACCTTAGAGCCCAGCCTGCCTGTAGCAGGTGTTGGTTCAGGGGCAACAGCTCCACTTTTCCCGCCTTGGCCCTACCCATTTGTAGTGACACGCCTGTGCATCTAATGAAGCACTTAACTATTTATATTTATATATACACATATATATATGTATATATATTTGTTATTTTTGGGGTAAGTACTTTTTCATACCAATATATACCACCCTAACTCCAAATTCTGCTGTGATGGGGGAAGGGGGACTACGCCAGTGTGTGCAATAAGCATTTAGTGCTGGCCTATGTTGGTGATTCTAAGTATATAAAAGATAGTTCCTGTTTTCCAGTAGCATTAACATACTGGGGAGACCGACAAGGATATAATATTATGAGAATACTAGGGCAGAATAGGGCAGGACATGAAGGAGAGGGACACTGAAAAGGAAGGATTGTCAAGAAAAGCTTTATTTAGGAAGTTGATGGGGATTTAGAAGGAAGGGTAATATTTAGAGAAATGGAGAAGGCAGGAGAGGGGTTGAAGAAGGGATGGGAAGAACAAGGATGTGGTAGGGAGGGGCTGGGGAGAATGTGGTAAATGTTTGTGTATTGTGTACCAGGCATGTGCCAGGTGACTTACACATGTTAATCCATTTGTTCTTCTGGATGATCTGTGAGGCAGATTGTAGTGTTTCTGTTTTATACATGAGGAAATGGTCAGAGAGGTTGAATGACTTACCTAAGATACCGTGTGCTGATAAGTGACAGAGGCAACATCTGGAACCAGGTATGTATGACGGTAGCTCTTCTGCTCATGTTTTACAAAGGTCCAGGCCTAAAGTGTGCATGTGTACCATTTTCTGTATTTTGCTTTCAGATACTCAGTTGTACCTGATTTCTGCATGTTGTCATCTCATATACAACTGGTCTCCACAACAGTCCGGCTTGTTCATTCCCTGATCCGCAATCCTTCCTGTTCCTGCATGGATTTGAAGGCTCTCCTTTCCTCCTTGAATGACTTTGCGTCCCTCTCATTTGCTGAGAGTTGGGACAATGTTGGATTACTGGTGGAACCAAGTCCACCACATGCTGTAAACACACTCTTCCTGACCAATGACTTGACAGAAGAAGTGATGGAGGAGGCGCTGCAAAAAAAGGCTGATTTCATTCTCTCCTACCATCCACCTATTTTCCGACCCATGAAGCGCATAACCTGGAAAACCTGGAAGGAACGCCTGGTGATCCGGGCTCTGGAGAACAGAGTCGCTATTTACTCTCCTCACACAGCCTATGATGCTGCACCCCAGGGAGTCAACAACTGGTTGGCCAAAGGGCTTGGTGAGAAGCCTCTTCTTCTCTTATGTTTCATATTTTCCCTATAAATGCTTTGAAATTTTAGCATCTCTTTGTAATAGAATTTTAACTGCTTGACACATGGGACCATTATTCTATGTTTACAAAATATATTTACAAATAAGGTTGCTGAAATCTGGCAATTAAATTGCATTTGAAAAATAAAATTATTATTATTAATGAATAAGGATAACATAGGAAATCCTCACAGCTACACTGAGCTTTGTGATTCCTCACTCATATAGTATAGCACCTACCACCCAAGCACTCCAGAAATGCTTGTGAAATTGAATTGAAAGCTCAGGCTTCTCTAGAATATACTAATATATCACCCAAACAGGCTTCAGAGTTTTAATGAGGGAATTTAGCGTATGTGTCTTAGCTTTATTTTTAGTAAGTCTTTGTAGTTTACGCACTCATTTTGGCCTGAAGCTTTTATCAGGATATAATCTGGATTGATGTAGTCAGGTAGATTATGAGCATTTGCACCCCGAATCGTTGTTTACATGAGTAAATTTAGTAAGCAGTCACAATTTTATGTATCATCTAAAAACTCATGCATCAGCCTTGGCTGGTGTGGCTCAGTGAATTGAGCACCAGCCTACGAACCAAAGGGTCCCTGGTTCGATTCCCAGTCTAGGCACATGCTTGGGTTGCAGGCCAGGTCCCCAGTGGAGGGTGCACGAGAGGTAACCACACATTGCTGTTTCTCCCCTACTCTTTCTCCCTCCCTTCCTCTCTCTCTAAAAATAAATAAAATTTAAAAAATTAATAAAAACTCATGCATCACTCTCTCTTATCCAAACATTTCTGGTTTTTAAGAGTCTCCTGGAAAGTAATTCTGAAAATAAATTTGATTTTGTATGTCTGTATTAAATCCCTCATTTTGGGTACTGCTGGATGTATATGTAAAGGATATGCATATTTGTGTATACTATATAAGCATCTGAGAATGAACTTTTTAAAAATACTAAGTTTTATGTTTTGCCTATAATAGTTTATCTTTTTAATTTAAAAAAACCCACAAAACTCCCATTTTCCTACATTTTTTTCCTTAGGAGTTTGCACCTCCAGGCCCATACATCCTTCCAAAGCACCTAACTACCCAACAGAGGGAACACACAGAGTAGAATTTAATGTTAACCACACCCAAGACCTGGACAGAGTCATTTCTACAGTGAAAGGAATTTCAGGTGTTTCTGTCACCTCTTTTTCTGCTAGGTACAGTATATTTTTCTCTTTTTTTGGTGGGTATTTGTTAAGGATCTTCCTTACAAATTCTATAATTCTGACATTTAGGTTTGAAACAAATTATTTTCTTTGTCATGTGCTTACAAAGCAGCATGCTTCTTGTTTGGGTCCTCAAGGAGGAGAACTACAGGAGCCTTCCAAAGCAATAAATACGATAATACTATTTCCTATGTGGGAGGAACTGTATATATTGCATACAGTATTTTTCATATTCCTGGTAATGGTGAAAAGTAGTTTTTTTTAACTTAGGATACACACATACCTCAGAGATATTGTGGGTTTGGGCCCAGACAAGCATAATGGAGTGTAATAATAACATGAGTTGTAATCTTTTTGCAGGTGGAGGGGCTTGCCTTCATTTTATTAAAAACACTCAACACCTGTGAAGTTCAATAAAATGAGGAATATCTGTATATAGATAAACTCTGGTGATATACTGATAACATAGGTTTACTTTTATCAGTTCCCAGCAAATCAGTGATTTTTCAAGCCCTTTAAAGGAAAAATACATTAAAGTGCCTCTTATAAGAGGCATTCATTTATTTAGGACAGGTACCAAAATGTTGCCTCATAGGAGATCTTCTTTTAGGTTAATTTATCCTATAAAAGACAAGTTAGTCCTGGCTGGTGTAGCTCAGTGGATTGAGTGCCGGCCTGTGAACCACAAGGTCGCTAGTTCTGTTCCCAGTCAGGGCACGTGCCTGGGCTGTGGGCTGGGTCCCTGGATGGGGTGAGTGAGAGGCAACTAGTCGATGTTTCTCATGTCAATATAGCTCTCCCTCTCTTTCTCCCTCCCTTCCCCTCTGTCTAGAAAAAAACTAAATCAAGTCTTTAAAAAAAAGGACAAGTTATACTAATCTAGGATTTAATTGTTTAAAAAACAAAGAAATATAATGACTTTTTAGTAAAATGGAACTCTGTCAGGCTACAACAAAAAGTGACTTTTTGATGAGTTGCTTATGTATTGATACCTCATAGTAAAAACCATTGCAGGTGTTCTCTAACAGTATTGGAAAATTTTTTGAATCTCAAGAAAAATTATTTATAGGACTTTGCATAGATTCTAGTCCTGGATTTCTTTTACCATACTGAAATACTGTCTAAGTACTGAAATTAAAAAAAAATTATACAAGTAAAGCATGAAAAATTTAAATAATACAGAAATCCTTGTCCCTTCTACTCAATTCTAGTATCTTCAACTCAAGCCATCTTTTTCCTTGCTTTCAGAAAAATGGGTATCTTTCCAAACACGCATAGAGACATGAAGAAATGTATAGTTTAGTTTTATTCATTGTTCTCTTAATTAAATGGTAGGTGTATTTACCTTTTTACTAATAAGATGTCTTAGAGATCTTTCCATGTAGGTATATAAGATCTCTTTTTAACTACTGAGTAATGTTTCTTATTATGGATATACTGTCAATTCTTTAAGCATTCCTCTTCCTAACTGATGGACTTAAAAAAAAAAACTGATGTGTATTCAGTTTGGTTCTGGTTTTACCACATTACCGGTAATATCTGGGTTTTACCACTTGTCAGGGCCCAGTCATTGTTTTTGATTTTTATTTTCAAAGCTTCACAGATAATTACAATACTGACAACTACACGCCCAGATTATATTTTAAGGTGACTTTTAGTTCTATAATAGAATTTCATATTTAGAGTTTATAGTTAAATATAAAACTTGCTTAAAAAAAAAAGAAAAGCACCATGGCTGGTGTGGCTCAGTGGATTGAGCACCAGCCTGCAAATCAAAGGGTCTCTGGTTCAATTCCCAGTCAGGGCACATGCCTGGGTTGGAGGCCAGGTCCCTGGTGGGAAGCGCTTGAGAGGCAACCACACATTGATGCTTCTCTCTCTTTCTCCCTCCATTCCCCTCTCTAAAAATAAATAAATAAAATCTTTGGAAATAAAAAAAAAATTCATTCATTCATTTATTCAGAGAGAAATGGAAGTGAGGAAGAAAGAGACAGAAATATCAATAGATAGGTTACCCCTCGTGCACCCCCAACTGGGGACCTGGCCCGCAACCCAGGCACGTGCCCTGACCAGCAGTGGAACCAGCAACCTTTCAGTTTGCAGGCTAGCGCTCAACCCACTGACCCACACCAATCAGGGTCAAAATTTTCTTGATGCCAGTCTTTTTGGAGAGGCTCTACATCATTGCTTCTCAAAAGGTTATTCAAGATGCCCTGCATCATTGTTAATGGGGTACTTACGAAAAATATAGATTTTTGTCTTCATCCCAGGTCTATGTAATTAGAATGGGATTTCCTTGAGAATCTGTCCAGGAAATTCTTGTATGCAGTGATGTTTGAAATGAACTTCTTCAGGGCTTTAAAAAGAATTCAGTTTGCCTCAGCCCATTGATCGGTGTTATTTCACTGGATCTGTAACAGGGACTGGCAGTCATCATTTTAGGAGGTGACGCATGACTGGATTAAGAACAGATAGAACAGTGATTTCAGGGTGAGGTCCTTGGGCCAGCAACATCAGCATCACTGGGAACTTGTTAGAACAGTAATTTCTCAGACTCCGCCTAGACCTACTGAATGAGAACTGGGGGTGGGGCCCAACCGCCTGTGATTGAAATCGTCCACAAGATGATTTTGATCCATTCTAAAGTTCGCGAAACACTATTCTAGAAAGTAATTTGGTTTGGGATTAAATCCTAAATTCCATATAAATTTAATCTCCTATTGTAGGAGATTGTAAATGACAATTATTTAAAATACATTTTGTTTATATTTATCCTAAACCAGTGAGTGACTTTTTTTCTAGGACTGAGGATGAAGAACAAACACGGATCAGTCTGAACTGTAGTCAGCAGGCTTTGATGCAGGTGGTGGCTTTTCTTTCCCAGAACAGACAACTTTATCAGAAGACTGAAATTCTGTCACTGGAAAAGGTAATAAAAATACCTTACATTGCTGAGCATTTTTGTTTGGCAAATTCATTTGTAAATTGTTAGATCAGTAGGCTATTAACTGCTATTTGAAGGAGGGCATATTCCCTGCAAGGTATGTTCAGAAAGGGACACATTCCAGGAGTAGAATAATGTTGGAACTTGCCTTATTGGGCTGCTATAACAAAATACCACAGACTGGATAGCTTATAGACAGATTTATTTCTCCCACTTCTGTAGACTGAGAAGTCCAAGATCATGGCCCTGCAGATCGGGAGTGGTGTCTGGTGAGAGCCCACTTCTGATTCATAGATGTGCCTTCTCTCTGTGTCCTCACGTGCTAGAAGGGATTAGGGACCTATCTGGACCCTCTCTTATAATGCACAAATTCCATTGGTGGGAGTTCTAACCTCATGACTTAAGCACCTCCCAAAGGCTTCACCTCCTAATACATTTGGGCGTTAGGTTTTCAACATGAATTTTGAGGGAACGGAAACACTTAGATCATAGTTGTAGTCTTCAGGGATAGAGACTCAGGTACAGGGTTATAGGTTTGGTCTCTTATTTTATGCCCTCTGCCTGGACCCTTTTATTCACTTCTTTAATTTAACAGCCATTTGTATAATGATTCCTATGTCTTTACTTTCTGGCTCAGTATGATTTCTTAAGTTGAAAAATGACAAAAACATATTTCCAACTAGTATCTAGACATTTTCCATTTACACAAATATTTCAGATAACAATAAATATATACAAATATTGACCTTATCCCCACTTTTCTTTTTTCTATTTCATCTGTGACATCATCATCTACCTTATTTTCCAAGTTTCCACAGTTCCTCCTGCCCCAGTAAATCCAAGCCCTGCTGATTCTGTACCCAAATCTGTAAAATATTTCTCCCTTCTATTTACTTTGCCACTACAGTAGTTGAAAACTTTGATATTCCCTCACTTGGAATGTGGGGGTGTCCTAGGTGGGCACCCACAGGAGGCAGCCCAGGCTTAGCATGCAAACCTTTCATGACCACCTGCGGCCCTTACGTCCAGCTTCTCAGTCGCCATCGTCTCGGTTGCTTCTCGGTTTAACTGAAAATAATCAGTTCAGCATTCTCGCCTAGAAATGAACTTCTGTTTAACTCATAGTCCAGAGTTAGTCACATTGCCCAATCTAACCCAGCGTGGGCATGAAGTACCATTCTACCATGTGCCAGGAAATTATGATGGATCCAATTAGCATACAAATCTTGGCATTTTATGAAACTGGTGATATTTTATACTGAAGTGCTACTAAGTGAATTGATTCACTACAGTTTCTGAGTCTTATAGACACTGTCTTTTGCTTTTGCCCTGCACACCAGTGAAACTGCTTTTGGATCCGCCCTCAGTGTACTCTTCTCACACCTGGACACCTTTGTGCATGTTCTCTGCTGAGAATGCCTTTCCGCCTTTCACCCTGTCCGTGTCCTTCCACACTGCACTTGACGTCACTTCTCCTTCAACGCCTTTCTCAGCTGTGTGCAAGACTCGAGTTCTTGTAAAACCTTTGTTTCTACTTTTTCCAAGTATCCCCAGCCCCAAGGCCCATTTAATTTATTTTGTCATTCCTTTGTGCTCTCGTTAAAAAATAGTACCTGCCTTGTATTTAACCACTTTTATTATTATTTATTTAAATACCTGCCTTACCAGGAGACTGTGAGTTCCTACAAGTCAGAGAATATTTTTTGTCAGATTTGGGTACAAACTTTAGCCTGGAGTTGGTTGTAAGGAGCTCACAGTGCGCATGTTACATTGATCTCAGCATGTGCTGTTTGTTCTATAGGTTTGCTTTCTAGGACTGATGATGGACAGTTTTTGTAATTTCTTTTTCTCTTCAGCCTCTGCTTCTACACACTGGAATGGGACGGTTATGCACACTGGACGAAACTGTCTCCTTGGCAACCATGATTGAGCGAATCAAAAAGCACCTAAAACTATCACATATTCGCCTTGCTCTTGGGGTAGGGAGGACCTTAGGTAAATGTCTCTTTTATTTGTCCAGTAAACATAATGTTAACATTGGGCACAAGCTGAAAGTCTTGACTGCGTTAATGTAAGTGGAAGAAAACCTGTTAGCAGTCACAAGAATGACTAACTGGTTTATGTTATTGATCAGGGTAGTCTAGGTTTTGCTGTAATAAGCATCTCATTGGCTTCAACAAGATTTATTTCTCTATCACACTCTGTTCATCTCAAATCAGCAGAGGAAATCTGCCCATTGTAGGCTGGTCACTGTTGCAGAGGGAAAGTTTTGGAGAGTCTAAAATAATCAGTTAAACATTCTAGCCTAGAAATGAACTTCTCTTTAACTCATAGTCCAGAGTTAGTCACATTGCCCAATCTAACCCAGTGTGGGCATGAAGTACCATCCTACGATGTGCCAGGAGATTAGGACGGATCCAATCACCATGCTATTCTTGGCATTTTACAATACTGGTGACACTTTATACTGAAGTGCTACTAAGTGAATTGATTCACTGCAGTTTCTGAGTCTTGTAGATGCCGTCTTTTCTTTTGGCTTTTCCCATTATTTTTGGGAACAAAAGGAATGAACAGGACATTTGTTGGACCCCTGCAGTTTGCCTGGCACTGTACTGAGTGAAGTATGTGAATTCCCACTGCAAAGGAGACCAGAGGTTGTGAGTGTGATTTCTGAGTTTCTTGGGTTCAAATTTTTCTGTCTTATTTCCTGCATGATTTTGACATGTTATTTAACCCCTTTGTGTCCTTGTAGCCACATCTGTAAAAACTGTAATAATAATAATAACCTAATTCATCCAGGTAGATGTGCATAATCCACATGACAGAGCACAGTGACTGGTATACATTAAGTGAGGTAAATGATCACTATTAGCTCTGTGGTAGGTATTAGCGTTCCCTTGTAGCAGTGAAAACATTGAGGTTCAGAGAGTTAAGTAACTTATCCAAAAGTCTACAGTTGGATCAAATAACTCATAAGAATTAATTTCCGAAGAAAACAGATGGCAGAGGTTGGCTTCAGATCGAACTCCAAAACCCCTCCTTTGAAATAGCACTATTGCGTGACCACTAATGAAATGTTCATCCTGGAAACCTAAGTGCTAAGTACTTGCTAGATTTTGCTTGAAAGTTTCTGTTATTTCACTCTTGAGGATGCTCTTTTTAAAGTAAGTATGGTATTTAAAAATGTGTCAAATCCATTTGTAGGATTCCTCTAATGAGCCCTTTTAGTTCTGCTTCCTTACCTGAGTACCTGCCTATCTCTTTTTGTTGCCTGGGGGCTCAGGTGAGGTTACCTACCCAGTACCACAAGAGTCAAGCCTAGCGCTGTACCCGTAGCATTATTCAGCGGTGCCTTATGTGAGCTAGAGCAGGTATATACATCCCAGGGAATAATAACCTTGCTTTGGGTTAGCTACGCAATACCAAAGAATAATCTGCTAGCCTATGTGAAGACGTGTTTTGTTGCTTTTTAAAATTCAGTAAGCAAAATTCATGTACTGCTCCTGAGACCAGGAGTGAAATCTGCATTACATTTAGGATTCTTGGTACAAACTATAACATTAAAATGAAGGGGAATTATAAAGTATTGCTCTCATTTCCTTTATCTTGAAGAATCCCAAGTCAAAGTTGTGGCTCTGTGTGCTGGTTCTGGGAGCAGTGTTCTGCAGGGGGCAGAAGCCGACCTTTACCTTACAGGTAGGACAGCCTTTGGGTCTTTCTTCTACCCTTTTGTGTGTCCTTTCCCAGCCTTGGTTTCTTTTTACAAGTTAAAAAATAGCAAATTTTAGGACAGCACCTGGCCTATAGATGGATCTAATAAATGTTTTGGAACCTGAACTAAATACGAACTACACCAAAATTGGAGACATAGCCATATTCTTTGTGGAGGGGAAAAATTCATTTAACAGTTTATTATTAGAATATTTTAAAATACTGATGTTTAGCATTTATTTAACCTATCTTCCTAAACATGATTTCTCTCAAATTTCATGTCACTTTTTACAAGTCACCTTAGGTAGAAAATGGTGCCTCTTACTCAAACCTAAGACAATCATCAGTTCCTATCAATTCTAGCTCCAAAATTTTTCTAGGACCTTACCCATTATCTCTAACCAGGCATCATCTCCTACTTGAAGAACATCATCAGGCCTCTAAATCTTAATCTTCCGCACACTCCTCAAATTTAACTTTCTTTTCTTCTTTTAATTATATTTTATTGATTATGCTACTACAGTTGTCCCAATATTTCCTTCTTTGTCCCCCTCCACCCAGCACCCCGTACTCCCTCAGGCCATCCCCACACCATTGTTCATGTCCATGAGTCATGTGTGTAAGTCCTTTGGCTACTCCATTTCCCATACTGCACTTTACATCTCCATGGCTATTCTGTACCTACCTATTTGTACTTCTTAATCCTCTCACCTCTTCATCCATCTCCCCACATCACTCGCCCATCTGGCAACTTATTTCTTTAAAAAGTCCATTTAACATTTCATATAATAATGGTTTGGTGATGATGAACTCCTTTAGTTTTGTCTTGTCTCGAAAGTTTTTTATATGCTCTTTGATTCTGAATGATAGCTTTGCTGGGTAGAGCAGTCTTGGCTGTAGGTCCCTGCTTTTCATGACTTTGAATATTTATTGCCAGTCCTTTCTAGCCTGCAAAGTTTCCTTTGAGAAATCAGCAGATAGTCATACGGGAACTCCCCTGTAGGTAACTAACTGCTTTTCTCTTGCTGCTTTTAAGGTTCTCTCTTTGTCTTTCACCTTTGGCATTTTAATTATGATGTGTCTTAGAATGGACCTCTTTGCATCCATCTTGTTTGGGTTCTCTGTGCTTCCTGGACTTGCATGTCCATTTCCTTCACTAAAGTAGGGAAGTTTTCTTTTATTATTTTTTTCAAGTAGGTTTCTAATTTCTGTCTCTCTTCTCCTTCTGGCACCCCTATGATGCCAATATTGGGCCTTTTGATGTTGTCCCATGGGCTGCTTACACTATCCTTATTTTTGTGAATTCGTTTTTCTTCTTATTTTTCTGATTGGTTGTGTTTTGCTTCCTTATGTTCCAAATCATTGATTTGATTCTCAGCTTTATCCACTCTACTGTTGTATCCCTGTAAATTGTTCTTTGTTTCAATTAGTGTATCCTTTGTTTCTGACTAGGTCTTTTTTACACTGTTGAAATCCTCACTAAGTTCTTTAAGCATTCTTATAACCAGTGTTTTGAACTCTGCATGTAGTAGCTTGCTTGTCTCCATTTTTTTTTAGTTCTTTTTCTAGAATTTTGTTCTGTTCTTTCATTTGAGCCATGTTTCGTCTCTTCACTTTGGCAGCCTCCGTGTGTGTGTTTCTATGTAAATATTACAAAGAGCTGCTATGTCACCCAGGCTTGGTAGAGTGGCCTAATGTAATAGGTGTCCTATAGGGTTCAGTGGCACAGCCTCCTCTAGTAGGGTACTCAAGGTGTGCCCACAGTATGGGCTGTATACACCCTCCTGTTGTTGTAGCCTTGATTGCTGTTGGCATACCGAAGGTCAGCCCCTGCCTGTGTTCTCTCCAGTGTCATACAGCATAAGCTACGAACCAGTCTGCAGAAGCTGCTACTGGTGTTGGGCTTGGAGGTCTGATGCGAGGCCAAGGTGTGAACCATGGCCAGCTGTTGCAAGTGCTGGGTCTGGGGCAACTTAGCGAGAGGTGTGGGGCTCGTTGAGGCCAGATGCTGCTTGTTTGATATAATTTAGGAAAGTCTGAAGCACGGGTGAAGACCGATCATTCATATGGAAAGGCCACTGGAAACAGCTTGGGTGGGCCTGAAAGTTGGGTGGGGCAGGGCCTCAGGGAATCACCAGGGTGGGGCAAACAGTATGAGCCAGGTTGATGGAGTCTCAGATATGTTGCCCACCAGCCAGCTCTGTGGCTCTGGGGTAGAAAGCTCAGAAAAGGAACTGTGGCCTTTGCCAGCATTTCTGTCTGGGAGAAAGCTGCCCCTCCAGTTCTTGCCCTGATGCCAGACAATGCATTTCCTCCCTGTATGTCTCAGATGCTTTTCAGTCTGCTGCCCCAGAGCTAGAGCTCAGAGGGAGTTATTCTGAGTAAGTATGTGCATGGGCCCTGTTAGAGGAGCTGCGAGGGAGGTCAGCAGTGTCTCTCTCTCCCCAGCCTTAATCCCCACTAGTTTTTGTAGCCACAAGTTATGGCAACTTCTCTTCTTGGCACTGGAACCCTGGGCTGGGCGGCCTGGTGTTGGGCTGGGACCCTTCACTCCTTGGATTTTTATCCCTTGTGATTTTTAATCCACCACGTGTGTGTGGGACCAGCCCCTTCCATGCCTCTGCCCCTCCTACCAGTCACAGTGTAGTTTCTTTTCTAACTCTGTAGTTGTAGGACTTTGATTCAGCTCAATTTCTGACGGTTCTAAATGGTGGTGGTTCTAAAGTTTAGTTGTAAGTTTGATGTGGTTATGCGAGGAAAGGAACTGTATTTACCTGTGCCACCATCTTGACCAGAAATCTCCAAAATTAACTTTCAAAAGTACAAATTTGATGGTGTATAATATTCTGGCCAAAAATCCTTCAGTGATTTCCCTCATCTGTCCCGGTGCAGCCTGAATGTTTCATCCCCTTTCACTTAGCCGTAGTTTGTGGTGTTTTTCTCTCCCTAGAATGTCACGTTCTTGCTCCTTTCTTTGTATTTCTAGAGATAAGCTGAAAGAAACTTCCTAGAAACTTTTTCTGCCATCCTCTGACTCCTGCCCCTGATGGTCATACCTTCCTCTCCCATTCCTGTCACTTTGTCCTTAACTTCCTATTGCATTTCTATTTGACTTTAGTGTTCGGCTCCCCGTCTTCTCACTGACTTGTAACATGGCTCATCATTCCGCCGAAGGCTTTGGAGGCACTGTGTACACTTGCTGCTACCAGCTGTATTTCCACCTCTACTCCTTCTCAGTGTTCGGAGAGGGAGTTAAAGGTCTCTTTTCCCACTTCTAGGATCAAGACTCTAGGGCCTCAACCCTCTGGCTATTCCCTGGCTACTTCTGTGCCTCCTCATTACTGTGCCTCTCCTGCCTCCCACACCCACAACTTACTAGCACACCTTCTCACAAAAGCTGACATACTTGAAACATTGTCACAGCCAGAAGTATAGAGGTGCAGCATCTGAGCAAGCCTGATGTAATCGCTCTGGACCCATTGAAAATGCACATAACTGTTACCTGCTTTCTATTTTATCCCTCTGAAGATAAAAGATTTTTATAAGCCCTCAATCTCGTACCAGATTGAAATAAGCTTTTAATGTATATGCAATTTGACAGACTAACTTAACAGCATGGTGTGCGACTAATTGTAACATTTTACTTTGAAGGAAATTCAGAGCTTTAGAACAGCTGCAGGAATAGTACAATGAAGTTCTATATGCCCTTCACCTATATTACTAATGGGTGTATTTTCCCATGTTTGTACATTCTGTCTCTCTCTGTACATATTATATGTGTGTATAAGTATATATTTATATACTCCCCCCCCAAACCATTTTGTAATAAACTGCAGATACGATGACTTTTACCCCTAAATAATTCAGCATATATCTCCTGAGAACAAGAACATTCTCTTATATGACCATGGAACAGTGATCAAATTCATGAATTTAAGCCCTGGCTGGTGTGGCTCCATGGATCGAGCACCGGTCTGTGAACCAGATGGTTCCAGGTTCAATTCCTGGGCAGGGCACATGCCTGGGTTGTCGACCAGGTCCCCAGTTGGGGGCAGGCAAGAGGCAACCAGTCGGTGTTTTTTTCCTCATTCTCCCTCCCTTTCCCTCTCTCTAAAAATAAATAAAATCTTTTTAAAAAGGAATTTAATATTGTTAAAACACTTATTTAATATACATTCTATATTCAGATTTTGCTAATGGATCAAAATTTGTAGCATTCCTTTTTCTGACCTATATACAGTCCATTATCACACACTGCATATGGAATAGTTCCTCAGCTTTGTCTTCAGAGCATTGACATTTTTGAAGAGTGTAGGCCATTTGCTTTGGTATTATATTTCTCAATTTGAGATGTCTGATTGTTTCTTCATAAATAATGACTTTTTTAAATTTTTTTTTTTTAATTATAAAGCAGTATGTGCATCAGATAAATTCACAGTTCCAAAATGTTGAGATGTCCTTCCTATCTGTTTAATTGGGGAAATAGAAAATATCTTCATACCTGGCTGACTTTAGATGTCTATGAGCTGTGAAGTATCACTTTGAATAAAATTTCAGGGATGAGAAGCACCAGTCAAAAGACCAAATATACAATATAGGCCTCTGCTGCTGTTCATCACCCCTTCCATTGAGCTTGACATGGATAGGTTGTTAAGGGTAATATCCTAGAAAGACCAGCAGATGGGGAACTTGCTTCTTGAAGATACTGCATAAATTCTCATTTGCTTTTTCTTTCCCACAGCTACAATTCTGTGCCAAGCTTTTCTTGCCTTTGCTTTTGCTTTGTTATTATTGTAGGGTCTTCATGGATTTCCCCACCTTCACGTGTTCTCCAGCCAGTGCATTTATAATAACCTGGGCAGCCAACTTGTCTCTCCTGCAGCATGGCTTCTAATTGGGCCACCTTAGTGTCTTTTTCTCCTTTTACTTTACTATTTATTATAGATTAAGATGTTTTAAAAGGTACTTGAATAAAAAATATTCCTTATAATGAAATAACACATATTGGGGGGTGGAAATGTGGGCAATTAAAAATTTGGGGGGACACTGGTGGGTTGGCTCAGTTGGTGGAGTGTCATTCTGTACACCAAAAGGTTGCAGGTTCAATCCCCTGTTCAGGGCGCGTGCAAGACAAAACTGATCAGTGTTTCTCTCACATTGATATTTATCTCTCTCCCTTCCTCTTGCTCTGGTATCAACAAAAAATATCCTCAGGTTGAGGATTAAAAAAAAATTTTTTTCTGTGGAGGGAAAACCCTTTTTTCTAAGAACCTTTTTTTCCCTATATTTTTTCATGCCTTTGTACTTCTCTATATATTTTTAAATTATGCTTTTTATGAACAAGCCAAATTTTGCACAAAATATTTTTTCTCTTAAATTAGAAGTCATCTGACTTATAAATGGTGTTTTTAAGAATTCAGGACATTTGAGTTTTCCCAAAATCTTTTCACAAGAGATCCTCTCCCAGCAATAAAAGATTTCTAGGAGTTTTGCCTGAGTCAAAGGAAAATACCATTTTTAGAGATACCATGAAGCTCCTTTCATCATCATGAAGTAGACTAGGGTTGATGCCAAAAAATTTGGTGCTTCCAAAGCATAAAAGTCTTCTTCTAGAAAGTATACCTAGGATATTCTTGAAGTATTTGTTATTTAATATTACATAAGAAAGTTTCTGAAAGCCCCATTTTATTTAGTAGCCAGTCATCTGTTTATTGTGGAAACAATTTGAGTGGGTGTTCTTACAGGACTAGTTCTGGCAGAATTAGATACTGTTGGATATGTGAGTTTCAATACTTGTGTTGGGTCTGCCAAGGAGAAAGAATTTAGAATTCTCTGTAGGATGGTCTCTGTGTTTTTTTCAATTGGAGGACATGTAAGAAACTACGTAACTTTCTAGATTTATATGTAGTTCTGCTGTATTATGTTTGCTTCACACAGGATGCATATATAATCTTTCTGCTGTTGTCGTTCAGCATTCCACAGACTCTGTGTCTAATCTTTAAGTATTTGTTCTCTTTCTCTGTGGCAGGTGAGATGTCCCATCATGATATTTTAGATGCTGCTTCCCAAGGAATAAATGTCGTCCTCTGTGAACATAGCAACACTGAACGAGGCTTTCTGTCTGATCTTCAAGATATGCTGAGTGCTCATTTGGAGAATAAGATTAATATTATCCTGTCAGAAACAGACAGGGACCCTCTTCAGGTGGTATAATGTGTACAGGAATAGGATGACAATCTACAAATCATTTCACTTCTAATTCAAATGTACAACACAAATCAGTGGTTTGTATCTTTCTGAAAGAATGTTTTAGAATATACACCTGGTTTTTTTAACTTCTGATCACTTCTTGTTTTTTAATATACTTCACTAAACATTCTCCAGTTTTTAGGGTAAAAACTGTAATGTAACTATCATTAAAGAACAAATGAGTATAAAGATGATTAAAAGGATGATTATAAAGAACAAAATATTATAAACTCTACGTGAGGTTGACTAAAATCTGTTAACATTCTTCGAAAATAGTTCAAGTAATCCTCTCCTTAGATTAATTATGATAGGTGGGATGTGTCATTCTGGATCTCTCTGTAGTTAAAATATACTTTAAATATTTGGGATTGAACACTTATTTCTATGTAGTAATCTCTAGGAGGTGATATGGTCTGTATGTGTATTCTTAGATTACTAATCTCTGCCCCTAAATTTCAGAATCTGAATGAGATTTATCAGGATGAGGTTTGGGTTTTTTCCCTTAATATACACAATCATTATTTATATAACTTGTTTTAGTATTTTTTAGGTAACTTATCTGTAATTAGTAATATAAAATGATGATTGGCTCTCAATACTAGTGATTATTTATACAATAATTTTGTGCCAGACACTCCGCTAGTTGCTTTATAAACACTTTCAATTCCTTATAAGCAAGCCTACAGGTATTATACCCATTTTTGAGAACTAGCAAACCGCAACAGTCATCTCACCTCCCAGGGTGCAGAAAAACACATTCTAAACAATGCTGCTGGCTCCACGTTTGAATTAGGTGGGGGAAAGAAATTTAGACTTCTAAGAGTTTTCTTCCTCTTTTTTTGGCAGGCAGAACCTATTATTCATTTATTATGGGTAGAATTCCCATTTTGCAAACAAACCTCTTACTTTTGGGAAGTTCAGGGTTTCAAAATGTCTTTGGTGTATATTTCTAGATACCGGAGGGGCAGAATTCCCCTGCTGCTCATCAAATGACATGCACTTGCAGCTGCAGAGCATTGTGCAGGAGTATTTTTCTATTCCAGAGCGAAATACTTACAAAACAGAGTTAAATATATATATACGTAGTGCATACAGGATAACCCCCTGGTAACCATATATGCTCCCCAATCTTCTCAAACTATAATTTGCTTACTGTCCCAAGTTTTATCTCTACTACTCTTCCTCTCTTTTTTCCTGCCATTTCTCTCATCTGGAATCCTGTCTAAGTTCCTACTCAGATACTACCATTTCAAGGACCAAAGTCTCATCTAGCCACTAAAAGGCCTCCCTATTCTACAGTAATCTAGGCTCTGACCTTTATCACATTTATCAAGCATTTGGCTTTAATCTTTGTGCTGCCTAATACTGTTAATTAGCTTTTCAAAAGTTTTTGACATATCATCCACTTAGATTATAAGCACCTTAAAGTCAGATTCCTATATTTTTTTCTGTATTACTCATGCACCTATGTAGCAGACGCTCTACATGTCCTAGTTTTGAAAAGTAACATAATCCAAATGTGACACAACATGTACATTTAGTGTTCTTGACAGACTTTCTAGAACTAATCCACATTCTCTGTACAAACATGGAGTTTCTGCTAGCCCAATAAATTTGTTTTGGGAATCAGAACTCATCAGCTGACTCTGTCCTAGCCACAGGACTGCAGTTGTTCATCCCATGGGACCTCAACTCTGATGTCATAAACAAAATTTGGATCATCCTTCAGATTTTTCTAAAAAGTTCTTCCATGATGCTCTTCCTTTTGGCAAGTTCTGTCATCTAGTTTGCTCAGATCTTCCTCAGGATCAATGATTGTTTCCCATGGAATTTGTTACATTGTTTTTCCAAACTCTGCCCCTACAAGTAACGGAAAAAATTGGAAAATACTGTAACTTCACTTGCCTTCACTCGCTTTCTCAGGGACTTGTTCCAGGTAACTCTTGTGTCCCGGATTATTTTACTGTTCAGCTTCTCTGTTGCAATATGAAAAGTTTGACAGGCATGATGCACTGGCAACTTTACCCCTTCATTTCATTCTCATAGACCAAGATAACAGCTGGATGTTAGAACCTAATCGCACGTTTCTTGGCAATGCATATCATTCTCACATACACTTCATGGTAAATCAGAGGAAATCAGATGAAGATGTGTTAGTCACATAAGTGTAAGTCACACTTCCCGGAAGTGGAGGTGCAGGCTGAGAGCTGGGCAAGCGGGCTCCCAAGCCAGCTTGGTGATGGTCAAGATGGGGGCCAACCTGAAAGCTCTTTTAGCAATTTTTTTTTAAGTTAAGCAGAGTTTATTAATGGTTCCCCTAACTCAATGATCTTGTTGAATGACATATTCATATATTAAAATGACAAATGATGCTAAGAATGTCCAGTCTGTTGTAGCACAAAAACTGACTGCTGCCTCATAATATAAGGAATTCAGACTTAACGCCAAGTTTGTAGGGTATAAATGTCTTTATTACATCCTCTGTGCTTTTTCTTGGCCTATTTACTATTTTATTAAGAGCAGCCAGAAAAATCTTTCAAGGTTTCAGGTCTGTTCAATCTTGCCAGAAGCAGTAACAGCAAAAATTGGAGCCTTAGCAGTCAAACTCTGACAGAGTTTGAGGCACACTGATGCTGAAACAAGGTAATGAAGGGCATGTAATTCTACCAAAATCTTCATCAGATCTGTAAGATGCACTCAAATTTTTGAGTAACTTAAAGATGTTTTTAGTAGAAAAACAAAACCAATATTATAAATGAAAGATTCTGTCCAAATTGGCTTTTTATTAATAGTAAAAAGTATGGACACATACTGCTTGCAAAAAATATAGGCACAAAAATTATAAAAATAAATTAGTAGATATTTGAAGGCAAATGTAAAGTTTGCACATTAGGTCATTAAAGATTTTGTATACTTTTTTATACTGTGAGTTATTTATAAACTAGATATATTAAGCGCAAAAAAAAATTGGCAAGGTGCAAACCAGCAAGTATCATATGCTAACATTTGTTTTTAAAAGGAAAAAATATAGACAAAATCCCTTACATGTGCATAGACTACCTCTGGAAGATTAAACTATCAAAACTATCAATGATTGCCTATGGGAGTGGATCAGGAGTAGGAAAGAAACTGCTTTTCATCGAATAGCTTTTGGTACAATTTTTAAAAATTTTAATCATGTACAAAATTCTTAAATATATTGATTAGTAACTGTATTTAAGATTAAACCTTTCATACACAAATTTAACATGAAATTCATTATATGCCACAAAGATGACTTGAAAAGTCTTTGAGTTTTAGGTGTATTTGATAGAGAAATCAAGATTAATTTAAAGCTAGCCATTAATATGCTACTTACCTGCATGTTATTTTAGGACAAAAAAATATGTCAATATACAAGAATAGTTAAATTTTTATTTTCTGTTGAAAATAATGATTAAAATGTAATTCAGAAGTGTATTTCTCTAGCCTGGTTTCTAACTTGCTTCATGAAGGTGATGGCACATTAATTATTCTGAATATCATGTTTTATGATTTTTCATGTGCTTTCTAGGCTGGGTATACACCCTAAATGCTCGTTAAGTTTTTTCCCACTATTCCAACTGAACAGTGTCATGCCCCTCTCTCACCGTAGTATGTAGCCTAAATCCAAAAGAGAGAAAGCTGGATCATCTACTTTTCCTCAATTTTATACCTTTTGTTAAGCCATTTCAGAAACAGAGATGATTTGCCTTCCCCATTTCACCAATCAGTTCTGACACACAGAACAACAAATATAGCAGATTTCTGTGATGCCAATGTTTTTGTACTTCCACACTCTGAAACAAGCACATTCGCAATCAGCTCCAGGAGTGTTCAAAGGCCCTCAAAAAATTAGGAATAATATCATCTCTAGTATAAAAGAATTCAAAAACATCCAGTTCCAAAGAGTCCCTGAGCACACTGTTCATTCCAGCAAGAATCTCCAGAGAGGTAATGAATGAAAGGCACATTTTCTCCAATTTGAGGACCACTGAAGAGCACAGTTCTAGAGATGGTACACTGGCCAGGCTAATCAAGGTTCTAATTCATGACATTTCCCCCTCCCAATTTTAAATCTTGTACACTGGAAAAAGTCTGATGTTGGATGTAAACACAACACTTTCAAGAAGTGGCAGCTGGAGTGTAACAACCTTCCCACCAAATATTCAAGGATAAAGGATGGCTTCAAGTCTCCTCTTCTTCCTTTTCCAGGAAATCAGTCAATGTTCCATTGTCAATAGAAATTAATAAATATTCCACTCCATCGGTTCCCTAAAAGATGTAAGAATACCCTGGATGTTGGTCATTTGTAAGAGAAATATGAATCCTACTGTAGGTTAAAAAAATGGATTTAATATTTTTACATATAGAGGTATAGAATTTAAGGGAAAAGGCACACAAGACATATATCTATTTAAATACAGGGAGTTTATGGTTAAGCCACTTCAGAGTGGAAAAGAAGACTAGAGGGTGGGTAAGTGGGTATTTTCTTCATCCCGCTGCTCCTTCTAGGCCTCACACTGTTGATTTCTGTTCATTTCCCTTTCAACTGAATCTTTTCCATTGGTGGTAAAAATACCGTTAGGTAACTCCTATTTAAGTAACCCTCACTAGACTCACTCTTTTCGAGCTATCACCCAACTTCTGCAGCTTTCCAGAAGAGCTGCTGACAATCTGTCTCCTCACTTTTCCCTCAACCCAGTCCACCCTAGCTGCTGCCACCATTTTCATACCACCAAAGGAGCTTTTGCTTAGACCAGCGATTTTCATTCATCTCACGGCACACATAAACTAATTACTAAAATTCTGCAGCACACCAAAAAACTTTTGCTGATCTGACAAAAAATAGGTATAGTTTCTTACTCATTCACACCTGATGGCTACTGTTGTGTTGGCTGTTGCCAGTTTTTTTTGACTATCCAAGGGAAAAGAGGTCTGTGCCCCTGACTAAATAGTCAGGTACAGCATCAATTGAAAACCACTGGCTTAGACCACCAAGGAATCCCATAAATCCAATAGATATTTTTAGTCCTCCACCTTTCGTCCTCTCAGCAGCACCTGACACTGCTGACCATTCTTTTTTTCTTAAAACCCGCTTTTCTTGGCTTTTGTGATATCTTGGTTTTCTTCCTGACTCTGGCTGCTTCTCTCACCTTGCAGTGTTATCTTTTACTTGGCCATTAAATGTCACACTCCTCAACTAACTCCTGGCCCTCCAATCTCACTGTGTCTTCTCTTTAGGTAGTCCCACCAGTGCCTGGCTTCAGTTTCAGCCAAAATACATAGGAATCATAACCTTGTATGTCGAGCCCAGATCTTTCCTCTGGTTTCTTGTCCCAGGAATCCAACTCCCTAGCTGACATTTCCACTTGGAAATCTCAAAGGAACCTCAAGTACAGTAAGTCCAAACAAACAAAGATCATGAACTCATGATCTGTTTCCCCTAAAATGTTGCTCTTCCAATGCGCCCACCATCTCTCTGGTTATGCAAGGCAGAAATCAGGAATTACTCTGGACACTTTCCCTTGGCTCCAATATCCAATCTACCATCAATTCTTGTCAATTTTGCCTCCTACATATATCTCGAATCCAACCACTTTTTCCTCTTCACCCTAGTCCAAGTTACCATCATCTCATGCAGACTCCTAACGCTTTCCTTGCTGGTCCTGGTGCACTGACTTGGGCAATCCCCATTCCACTCTGATGCCAGAGTCAGAACAGTTTTTTTAAATGTCTTCCCATTACTGTTGAATAAAGATTAAAATCTTTTCCCTGTCCCAAAAGTCGTACATGGTCTAGTCCTTAAATCACTGTTTTTTCAACAGTAGGCTTATCCTATGCCATACTGGCCGCCTTTTTGTTTCAGGGTCTCTTTACATGCTGTTCCTGCCTGGAATGCTCTTCCCTTCCCTGTCTGACTAGTTTTGACTTAGTCTTCCCTCAGATCTCAGCTCAGTGGTTTCTGAGATCCACAAGCAGGCTGAATTAAACTGCTTTAATATGCTCTTTCAGAACCATGTACCTTCTGATCATAGGGCTTATCACAGTAAAACCATACACATGTGAGATTACTGAACACATCCATCTCCTCCACTAGACTTAAAGCTCTATGAGAAAAGGATTTTTATTACTACTATATCCTAATACTTAGTATAATATAAAATATATAGTTAGTGTTCAATAAAAATAGACCAGATTAATGAATGGGGTAGAAGGAAGAAAAGGAGAGGAGGAAATACAATCATTTGACTCATATTCCTACTGGCCTATTACTCTAGACTACACCTTTTAGGTTTTGTGCTCTGCTCTAAAACCAAGCAGGTCTACATTGTCACTTTGTACAGAACTCAAATGGCACATTGCTTAAACAGGTCCTTGTGATCCATTATGGAGCCTCAAGTTTCAAAATCAGATCTCAGTCAAGGCACACCTGTCCTTAAGTAAACAAGATATACTAGTCCTGGAATAGAATGCTATAATAGCAAAGTCTCACCTTCTTGGTTCTTATAAGCTTGTGGTCCCTAAATTCAGTTAACTGGGCCCGGAGTGTCAGATCACTATTGACAAGGAATGCCTCCCGACATTGCTGGTAGAAATCTTGAAAAGAAAGTCCTGGAGTTTCAAAAGGAGATTTGAACATAAGTCAGCATTTAAGACATGACTGGTATACAGATACCCATACCAAAGAACACAGGAAAAGAGTGTTATGGCCACAGTATTTCAAAGCAATGACTAAGTATTGATTTTTTTTTTTTTTTAAGTAACTCTGGAAGAAGCAAGATTACAGAACATTTTGTCTCATATTTTTAAAACAAAACTGATTGGTAGAAAATAGTCAACTGTGATCAAGTTATTACATAACCCTGTTGGGAGTTTTAAATAAAACTGACCTTTAAAGAGAGAACCAGTAAGTCATGAGAGCTAAAAGATTATTAAAATGTTTAAATTACATTGTTTTTACTCAAATAGAGGAAAATGTCCTAAGATGCCCAATATAAGAAATATACGTAATTGGTAGACATAGATCCATAATTAGCACAAGGAACTTAAAAAGCCAGCTGGGGCTGCCTTTCAGT